CCCCCTGAGCCTGGGAGAACCAGGGGGGCCCCCCCCCCCCCGGGAAGGTCCCCCCCAGCAGTGCCCCTGCTACTGCTCCCTGCCCCCCCTGAGCCTGGGAGAACCAGGGGGGCCCCCCCCCCCCCGGGAAGGTCCCCCCCAGCAGTGCCCCTGCTACTGCTCCCTGCCCTCCCTGAGCCTGGGAGACCCAGGGGAGACACCCACCCCCTCAGCACAGGCAGACCCCACAGGGAGGTAGGGGGGCTCCAGCTGCCACCACTCCAGCCGTGTTTGTCCCTTGTCACAGCTTGCTGGAGTAGAAAGGCAAGGCTCTGAGACAGGCCTGGGCCCCAGGGATGAGTGAGAGGAGGGGCAGCGGGAGCAAAGGTGGGAGCAGAGCCAGTGTCACCTAAGCCACTGGGGTGGGGACCTGGGGCAGGGGACCCCCACGGGCAGAGTGAGCTGGGAGAGAGCTCAAGGCTGGGGATCAACCCGTCCAGGTTCTGCTCCTAGTCACGCTGCTTGCTTCCTCTGTGAGCTCAGCACCCCATCTCACCTTCCTGGGCCTCAGTTTCCCCATCTGCCAGATGGGGTTGGTAGCACTACCTTCCAGGATTCCATTAGCTGAGGTGTGTGGGATACCTACTCTATGCCCCACCCCACAGGACCATGGGCTCCATGTTCCGGAGTGAGGAGGTGGTGCTGGTCCAGCTCTTCCTGCCCACGGCTGCTGCCTACACCTGCGTGAGCCAGCTGGGTGAGCTGGGCATCGTGGAGTTCCGAGATGTGAGTACGGGTCGGGACATGTGAGGAGGGGCTTCCTCCTGAGGCGCTGCTGCTGAAACAGCCCTATAAGCTCGTCCTAGATCGGAGACCACCTCCCCCATGATGGCCCCTGGCCCCACTTGAATCCCAGCAGCCCCTCTGTAGATACTGTGCTTGTAGTAAGGCCACGGCTGAGGCCCCTGTCCTGGCCTGGGTTCAGCCAGGCCTCCTTGGCTCCTGCTCATGCCCTCCCAGGGGCACTAGGGGTCTGGTCTGTGCTCCAGTTGGGCATCTGGAGGCTCAAGGTGTGCTCAGCACCTGTTTGGAGGAGGCAGCTAAGGCCAGAGGAGTCAGGCCTGGGCCCCAGGTGGAGACCTTTCTAGACCCCTCCCTGGGACACTGACCCCTCCATGTGGCAACCACAGCTCAACGCCTCAGTGAGTGCCTTCCAGAGACGCTTTGTGGTGGATATTCGGCGCTGTGAAGAGCTGGAGAAGACCTTTAGTGAGTTTGCCCCATGCCCACATCCCAGGCAGGCTTCCTGGAGGAAGCGCCAGCCAAGCTTGATCAGAAAAGAAGAGTCTGGGTTACCCAGATGGAAGGCACAGAAAGGAGGTGAAGGCAGGGCCCTGCAGAGCCAAGACAGAGCAGCTGGGATTTGTAGGGAGTTCTTGGGAATGGGGCAGCCTTGAGTGGGCTGAGCAGAGGGCCTAGGGCAGGGCTGGCTTGGAGGAGGCATCGGACACTGTGTGAGGGCCCAGGTCTTCATCCCGCGGATGCGGGAGAGCCACAGGGTTTCTAAGCAGGGGAGAGGCATGTATGAGCTTTCTTCTCTGTGGATAGACTGGGGTGGGCAGAGGCCAGGATACAGGGTTGGGTGTCCCCAAGGAGCGGCTTAGCTTCTTCTTGGATCCAACCAAGAGGAACCCCTACCCTGGGCCCTGCTCTGGCAACCTTTCCCAGGAGGAGCCTGCAGCACCAGGAGATCACGCTGCCCTGCCTCCTGCAAGCCCAGAGCATAGAGCAGGTTTTCTTTTGTGGTTTGTTAATTTGATTACTAGCTTTTAAAAGACCAGGCAAGGGGCCGGCCCGTGGCTCACTTGGGAGAGTGTGGTGCTGGATAACACCAAGGCCACAGGTTCGGATCCCTATGAAGGGATGGCCGGTTAGTTCACTGGGTGAGCGTGGTGCTGACAACACCAAGTCAAGGGTTAAGATCCCCTTACTGGTCATCTTTAAAAAAAATAAATAAAAAGACCAGGCAGGTATTCCATTTAAGCTCTTGTCCCAGAGACTGCAATGCTAGGGCCAGTGGCCGAGGAGACTGTCGGGCTCAGGCTCTGGGGTGGGCAGTGGTCAAGGGATGGGGAAAGGGGAGCAGCCTGGACTTGAGGTCAAAGGGAGGGGCGCAGACCTTCAGGGATGGACGTTTGGCCTGGGAGTTTTCTGCGGGTTTCCGACTCACTGAATTAGTTAGCCGGTAGCAATGGAGTTTGGGGTGGCATTCAGGATCCCCCAGAAAGTCTTGCTGCTGTTGGTTAACAGGGACAGTAGCTGGTGTGGCCCCTGAGTGGCCTGCCCTGACCCCTGTCCCGCTGCACCAGCCTTCCTGCAGGAGGAGGTGCGGCGGGCTGGGCTGACACTGCCCCTGCCCGAGGGGAAACTGCCAGCGCCCCCGCCCCGCGACCTGCTGCGCATCCAGGAGGAGACGGAGCGCCTGGCACAGGAGCTGCGGGACGTGCGGGGCAACCAGCAGGCCCTGCGGGCCCAGCTGCACCAGCTGCAGCTCCACTCGGCTGTGCTGGGCCAGGGCCATGGCCACAGCCCCCAGGTCAGCTCCAGCCTGGGCAGGGGCGGGGCAGGGCATGCCAGGCCTGTCCTGGGCTGGGGCTCATGGTTTCTCCGGGCTCCTAGCTGGCAGCTGTCCACACAGATGGGCTCTCAGAGAGGACCCTCCTGCTCCAGCCCCCTGGGGGGCCACACCAGGACCTGAGGGTCAAGTGAGTGAGGGACAACTTAGCACTCTTTCCCGTCAGCCCCAGAGCCCCTGACCCGTCGCGGGGGAGGCCAGGCAAGCTGGGACTCCTTGCACAGTGCTCCTCCCTGTCCTCCCTCAGGCCCGGAACTTTGCACAGTCCCGAGCCCTTGCCCTTGGGGATGTCTTCTCTTCCGGCCCTGCCCGGTGGCCTCCTGCCTTTTCCTTGGAGGCAGGGCCAGTGCACCTGGTGGGCGATCCGGGCTGGGTGGGGTGGGACGAGGAGGGAGGCTGGAGCAGCCCCGCCCAGCCCCCCGGCCGCAGCTTCGTGGCAGGTGCCGTGGAACCCCACAAGGCCGCCGCCCTGGAGCGCCTGCTCTGGAGGGCCTGCCGTGGCTTCCTCATCGCCAGCTTCAGGGAGATGGAGCGGCCGCTGGAGGACCCCGTGACGGTGAGCCACTGGGCAGCCAGGCTTGGGGCGGCCTGGTTGGAGCCAGAATCCAGGGTAAACTGAGCCTGGTTCCCGCAGGGTGAGCCTGCCACGTGGATGACCTTCCTCATCTCCTACTGGGGTGAGCAGATCGGACAGAAGATCCGCAAAATCACTGACTGGTGAGCTGCCGGGGGACTGGCCACCTGCTGCCCCACCCTGGGTCTCGGCAGGCGTTCAGAGCCCTGCCCAGCCGGCTCTGGGCACTTGCAGGCCTTGAGGGCCCCCGCCCCTGCATGTCACCTCCACCAAGCCTTCCATGTCCCCCCTGATGTCACTCCTCCTCCCCTGCCAGCTTTCACTGCCACGTCTTCCCATTCCTGGAGCAGGAGGAGGCCCGCCGCGGGGCCCTGCAGCAGCTGCAGCAGCAGAGCCAGGAGCTGCAGGAGGTGGGCCTGACCCGACCCCACCTGACCGTCCCCTGCTCATCTTGCCTGCTCCTGCCCGTCCCCAGCCCCTCTGGACACCATCTACCACTCCCCTGCTCCTCCTACCCCCACCTGCCCCTTCTGCCCCCTTTCTGTCCCTCACCAGCCACTTCTGACCCTGCCCTGGTCCCCAGGTCCTGGGGGAGACAGAGCGGTTCCTGAGCCAGGTGCTGGGCCGGGTACAGCGCCTGCTGCCGCCAGGGCAGTTGCAGGTCCGCAAGATGAAGGCTGTGTACCTGGCCCTCAACCAGTGCAGCGTGAGCACCACACACAAGTGCCTCATCGCCGAGGCCTGGTGTGCCTCGTGTGACCTGCCCGCCCTGCAGCAGGCTCTGCAGGACAGCTCGGTGAGCCCATGCGGCCTCTGTGGCCTCGCTCCCCTCCCTGCCCTCCCCTCCTACCAGGAAGGTGTCTGTTTCTGCCTCACATCATCACATCTCATGTTCCCAACCCCTCGCCTTTGCCCAGGGTTCTCTCTCCTCCCAGCCTCCTCCACAGCCCTCCTCCTCCAGGGAGTCCACCCTGATGGTCTTGGACCAGCAAGCCCTCCCCCTCTGACTTCCCAGAGTCCCTGGAGGCTGCTCAAGGCAGTTACAAGTCAGAAACATCAAATCCAAGTTCCCCAGGCACTGGCCATGTGACCCTGCCCCCAGGGGTTGCTGTGGCACACACCTGCTGCTGCGTAGCAGGTGCACACCGGTGAGGCTGGGGCTTCTGTTAAGTCGCACACTTTTCTTTCCCAAGCAATTTCCAGTCTGGGGGATATCTTCGGGCCTCCCTAAGTCTGGGACAGGGTGGGGCTGATCATCCCATTTCAGAGAGGGGAAGGGGCTGCCTGGGCTCCCCAGTGCCCACCTGGGGAGCCCCCACAGAGCTCTGCATCTCCAGCTGGGCCTGGCTGGGGAGTCCCAGGGTCCCTGAAGGGCCCCAACATCAGTCTCTGTCTCTCTGCCGGGCCCTAGCATGAGGCAGGAGTGAGCGCTGTGGCTCACCGCATCCCCTGCCGGGACATGCCCCCGACACTCATCCGCACCAATCGCTTCACGGCCAGCTTCCAGGGCATTGTGGACGCCTACGGTGTGGGCCGCTACCAGGAGGTCAACCCCGGTGAGAACCAGGGCGCCCTCACCCTGCCCAGCCACCAGCTCCTCTGCCTAGTCTTGAGAGGCTCAGCTGCCCCATGGGTGCAAGCAGGGGTGGGAGGTGTCTGCTCTGTGGGCCCGCTGCCCTCTTTGGATGCGAGGCGCAGTCTCTGCCACACTCTCCCAGGGCTTTGGCGTCATCCAGCCCAGTATGGGGGCTTTGTTTATCCCCAGCAAAGTCCCCCTGTTTACAAGGGAGCCGGCACGGGCTTGTGCAAAGAACAGAAGCTTTGCAGTGGGAATAGCCCAGGTTTGAAGTTCAGTTGCTTACTTTGGTAAGTGTCTGAGCTTCTCAGCCTATTTCCTCATCTGTGAAATGGAATAACAGGACAAGCCTCAGAGGTGTCAGGAAGGTTAGTGATCATCAGAGACTGCACACCAGCTGCCCACGTGTCAGCCTGCTTGTGTCGTTTGTTTGGGCACACCGTGTTTTTTTTAAAAGTATGAATTAATGCTGTCTTAGGATTCTTCCTGAGATGGACATTCTGGCGTAAGTGATCTATTAAGGGATGTACTCTCAGGAGAAACCAGAAAGGGATGGAGGCAGGGGGCGGTGGGGTGAGGGAGAAGTGAGCACGTAGGGGAGAAGCTGGGCACGGCTGGTCTCCACAGAGCCCCAGCCTCGCCTGCCCCTGCAGGGAGCTCTGGCATGTGCATTACACCTCATTGTGTCCCACCTCAAGGCCAGTGAGCAGGGGGCTTTCAAACCCAGCACCGTCGGTCACTGGTCCATGCCAGCTTGGGGCTGGGGGATGAGGCCGGTCACTCCAGGCACATCTGTTTGGGTCCTTGCCCGGCTGGCAAGGCAGCCCCAGGCCCAAGGGGGGTGTCTGAAAGTGGCCTGTTGATACTGTTCTCAGCAAAGCCAGGGGAGGGGGGAATGGGAAGCCGAGGGGCTGGGCAGAGTGTCAAAGACGTCCACTGTGGGTGCCAATGCTGACAATGTGGGTTTTTACAAACGTCTGCATTTTCCCAAGTCTTTTGCAAAAATTGTGAGATTTGGCAGAGAGTGTTGCCTGCACAGCAACGGCCTTGTGCTGGGCGGTGGCCGTTTCCTTTGGGGGATCATGCAGGCTCCTCTTTGCCAGATCCCCCCTCGCTGCCCAGGGTCAGGGGGGTGCCGCTCTGGACTCCTGAGCCCTGTGATACGGGCTGTCTCCTCTGCCTGTGCCTCACCCTCAGCGCCAGCATCCCGGGGCCTGATCTCACCTGTCCCTCAGCTCCTCGGTATTGACAGACACCAGTTCAGTTAGAACAAGCCATAGGAGACAGTATGTTCCCAGCTGTCAAAGCAAGAGCCTCGGGGGAAGTATTAGTTTTGCTGTGTAGCAAAGTGCCATAGCCGGGGCAGCTTCTACAGCAGAGACCGTCTCACCTGCTGGAGGCTGACAGTCCAAGATCAAGGTGTCGGCAGGTGGCTCCTTCTGAGGGCTGTGTGGGAGTCTGTTCCAGCCTCTCCTTGGCGTGTAGACACTGTCTTCATCTTCACATGGTGTCCTTCCCTCTGTGTGTCTGTGTCCAAATTCCCCTTTCTACAGGGACACTGTCTGGCCACAGTGGACTGGTTATCAGCTTTAACCTGATGACCTCTGTAAAGACCTTTTCTCCCCCTCAGGTCACATTCTGAGGTACTGGGAGTTAGGACTCCATCACTTCTTTTTTCGGGGGGTCGTGCATTGGTATCTCCGTAACCCCCATGAGGATTTGTTCCCATTTTACTAAGGAGAAATCAAGACTTCAGAGACTAAGTGACCAGCTCAGCCTTTTGGAACTTGCCATGTGCCAGCCGGGGCTCCTGGCCTCTGTCCTCTCTGTGGTTCTGCCTCTTGCTGTTCTTATAAATAACAGAAGCTAGAACTGCTCACAGTGTATGGAGCACCTGTGGTCTGCCAGGTACTGTCCCTGGTGACACTCACTTATAATAAGCCTGTGAAGTGGCACTGCTGTCACCGCCTCTCTACAGATGGGGAAACAAAGGCTCAGAGAGGTTAAGTAGCTGGCCCTTGTCACATAGCTCCTAAGTGGCGGGTTCTTGAAAGCCAGCTGGGGCCCCTGCCTCGCCAACACGGCCTTGGTAGTCCCTGTGGGGGTCCTGGCTGACCATGCCCCCTGTCCACAGCGCCCTACACCATCGTCACCTTCCCCTTCCTCTTCGCTGTGATGTTCGGTGACGTGGGCCACGGGCTGCTCATGTTCCTCTTTGCCCTGGCCATGGTCCTCGCTGAGAACCAGCCGGCCGTGAAGACCGCACAGAACGAGGTGACAGAGGGGCGGGGGCTGGTGAGGGTGGGCAGCGGGGACTGGGCAGCCCCTCACGGCACCACCCCCGCCCCCAGATCTGGCGGACTTTCTTCGGGGGCCGCTATCTGCTCCTGCTCATGGGCCTGTTCTCTATCTACACCGGCTTCATCTACAATGAGTGCTTCAGCCGTGCCACCACCATCTTCCCCTCGGGCTGGAGCGTGGCCGCCATGGCCAACCAGTCTGGCTGGAGGTGAGGGCCCCGGCCCCCACCCCACCCCAAGGTCCCTGACGGCCCCACGCAACCCCTGATCCTGCTGCCCACTGTCACCACAGTGATGCATTCCTGGCCCAGCACCCGGTGCTTACCCTGGACCCCAACATCACAGGCGTCTTCCTGGGACCCTACCCCTTCGGCATTGACCCCGTGAGTCTTGGGCACTTGAGCGCCCATGGGTGGTGGAGGGAGGCCAGGCACTTCCTGTCACTGAGCACCTCCCTCATGCCAGGCCCTGTCCTCAGCACAGGGACAGATGAGGTGCCTGCCCTGCCGGGCCCATGTCATAGTCACCTGAGCAGGCAGAAGCATGTGAGGGTCACACTGTCACTTGCCCTTGCGGTCAGCACTGTTGTGAGGCCTTCTGTGAAGTGATTTTATATCTGATCCTCACAACAACCCCATGGCGGGCACATTAGCATCAACCCCGTTCTATAGATGAGGAAAGTGAGGCACAGATTACGTGCCCAAGGTCCCCCAGCTGGGAAGAGCTGAGGTTGGCACCCAGGGTGTCTGGTAACCGTTTCCTTCTATTGCCCCACGATGGGCGGGTGGCAGATGGTACTGCGGACTCAAGGGGCAAGCAGGGTGACAAGAAAGTGACTTGGGCCAAGGGGCTCTCTGACAGTCTTGGCCGGGGAGCCTCCTGAGTCCAGCCAGCCCCTCCTGCCACCGCAGGTCTGGAGCCTGGCTGCCAACCACCTGAGCTTCCTCAACTCCTTCAAGATGAAGATGTCCATCATCCTGGGGGTCACACACATGGCCTTCGGGGTGCTCCTCAGCGTCTTCAACCACTTGTGAGGCCCGGGGCTGCCAGTGGGCTGCGGGAGGCCAGGCAGGGCAGGGCAGGCCCTGTGACTCACCCCGTCCTCCCCGCGCAGGCACTTCGGCCAGGGGCACCGGCTGCTGCTGGAGACCCTGCCCGAGCTCGTCTTCCTGCTGGGGCTCTTCGGCTACCTCGTCTTCCTGGTCATCTACAAGTGGCTGCGGGTGTCGGCAGCTGGCGCTGCCTCTGCGCCCAGTATCCTCATCCACTTCATCAACATGTTCCTCTTCTCCCGCAGCCGCACCAACCGGCCACTCTATCCCGGGCAGGTGGGCTGGGGCCGGGGGATCTGGGCTCACTCCCCTCATGGGGCCCCTGGAGTCACCATGCCACTCCGAGCTGCAGGATCCGTGTCTGAGAAGTGGGGAGCTGGCCTGAGGCCGTGTGGACGGGGCAGTGAGAGGCAGTAGCGTAGGGCTCTGTGCAAGGTGACACACAGTGGGTGCTGGAAGCCTGAGGTCTCTTCTCTAGGAGTCCTGACGGAGTGCTATCCCTACCTAGTCAGGAGCGCAGAAGCCCCCGAGGGACCCTGGGGGGTGGGGCGCTGCAGGCTCTCTGGGCCCCTGTGACCCGAGTTCATGTGCCGTGCACGGTGGGGACTCCCTGACTCGGCCCCATCTCCTGCAGAAAGTGGTGCAGTCCACACTGGTGGTCCTGGCCTTGGCCATGGTGCCCGTGCTGCTGCTGGGCACGCCCTTGTACCTGCTGTGCTGCCGCCGCCGCCGCCGCCACCACGGCCACTCGTGGAGGAGGCCCTCCGGTGGACAGGTAGTGCCAGGAGCACACGGGCCGGGGGGCTGCTGGGGTGGGCCTGACTTCAGCATCCTCGCAAGGGGCTGTGAGCAGCAGCAAGGGGTGGGCGGCTAATGCTGCCTCTCGCCACCCCCAGGATGAGGACAAGGCCGGGGTCCTGGACTCACCTGACATGTCCGTGAACGGCTGGGGCTCTGACGAGGAGAAGGCGGGGTACCCGGGGGATGAAGAGGAGGCCGAGGTGGGTGCAGCACCTTCTTGAGTGGTGGAGGGGGAAGGGCCGGCCCAGCCAGCCCCTCACTGCCACCCACCCGTAGGGCGTTGCCTCCGAGGTGCTCATGCACCAGGCCATCCACACCATCGAGTTCTGCCTGGGCTGCATCTCCAACACGGCCTCCTACCTGCGCCTCTGGGCCCTGAGCCTGGCCCACGCCCGTGAGTGACGCAGCAGACACGGCTGCTGGCTGGGGGCCTGGGCGGGTCACTTCTCTCTGGGCTCCTGAGGAGGGCCCTCACCGGCCTCTCGGGCAGGGAAGGCTGAGGGCTGCCGAGGGGCTGGTGTGCACCCCGGGCCCTTGACCCCACACCCCTCTTTGCCCACAGAGCTGTCGGAGGTCCTGTGGGCCATGGTGATGCGCAGTGGCCTGCTCATGGGCCGGGACGTGGGCGTGGCCGCCGTGGTGCTGGTCCCTGTCTTCGCTGGCTTCGCCGTGCTGACCGTGGCCATCCTGCTGGTGATGGAGGGGCTCTCGGCCTTCCTGCACGCCCTGCGGTTGCACTGGTGAGAGCCCACCTGACCGGCCTGGGCAGCCTGGGGCGGGGAGGCGGGGGGTTCCCTTCACCAACCTCTTCCCTCCTCACCCCTTAGGGTGGAGTTCCAGAACAAGTTCTACTCCGGTACTGGCTACAAGCTGAGCCCATTCACCTTCACCATCAAGGATGAATAGCACCCACCTGGGGGTCATGCCCACACCCGTCCTTACCTCTCTGAGGCAGGAAAGGAATAAAGAGGAGAGAGGCCCAGAAACTGTTTTGGTCCTGTCCAGAACACCAGGGGCTAGGCTAGAGCCAGAGCGGGCAGGGCCCTGGGTTCTTGGCATGGGTCAGCCTCTGTGCCTCCATTTCCTTGGCTGATCCCATGCCAGCCTCTGGTGTCTCCATTACACCCTCCTTTCTAGCTGAGGTAGGCGGGGGGCGGGCAGCAGGAGACATTGGTCTAAGATCTGAGGCCTTGAGAAGTCGGGGAGAGGACCCATAAGCACATCTGCAATAACCCCCGACCCTTGGGGTGAAATAGGGGCAGAACTAGGGCCGAGGAGGGATGTTTCCAGCACATTCTAGCTCGGAGTGAGTGTGTGTCTCCCCAGGTCAGCTGGAGTGGGTTCCCCATTCTTGGAGGTGTACTGAGATCTCCAAGAGTGTCAGGATACTCTGGTGGGAGGGTGGTGCCTGTCCTCAATCCAGCCGGTATTCCACGCTTTGGTGCTGCCCTCAGGGGCTTGAGGTGCTCCAATCCTGGCCCTGTGCTGCACGTGGGACCAAGGCGTCACATACCCAGGCCATACTGCTGCAGGGAAGAACAGTGGCTTTCCAGAGGAATCATTCAGGGCCCTGAGAGTCCAGGTCCTGCCTCCCCATCCCTGAGGCCACAGTCTGCTCCACCCCTCCCTGGGTGGCCAATCCCCCGTGTGTGGTGTGTGGGGAGGGAGTTGGGGGGGGGACAGTGCTCTATTCCTGCGGTTCTCCTGGCCTGGGTCCCACCACTGGCTGGGAGGCAGAGACAGTGCTTCTCAGAGGCCTCGGTCTTTCTGGCCAACAAGCTTGCAAAGTGATTCTTCCAGCTGGAGGCCCCAGGAACAAAGGTGGCTTTGAAGCCACAGCCGCTGGGCACAGCAGCCTGAGGCAACCTGGCCCCACAGCTGTGGCTCTCATCTGGCCAGCTGCTGGGAGGAGCCTGTCCCTTGGGTCCTGGACTGTCCCTATCAAGACCTCCAGACACCAGGCGGGGGTACGAGGGGCTCCAAGGCAGTTCCACATGCTTGGCAGAGACTTGGCTCAGAGAAACGTCAGTAACAGTGCGGGGGCAGGGACAGAGAGGGCCGAACGCAGGATTCAGGGGGCTACGGACATATCTGGACTAAACCCAGAACCTAAAGCCTTACCCTTCCTGGGGAGCAGAACTGGCAGAGACCCTGGGGGGTGGGATAGGGGGTGTGACAGATGAACAGATGCTAAGAGCTTAGGGTAAGGCAGCTGTGGGATCCACTGCCCTGGCTTTGACACATGGGCGTCTGGTAGGGCTGGCTGGAGAAGCCCAGTTGTCATGGAAACAGCATATGCAAAGACACTCACTCGGAGCTAGAATGTGCTGGAAACATCCCTCCTGGGCACCTGAACTGAGGACTGCCAGTGAACAGGAAGGGCCTGCTCATGTGAACTGACAGTCTAGCACAGGAGACAACTGAGTGAACCAGTCAGACCAGGAAAAACAGCCACATGAAGAAAGCGTGATGGGCCGGGGTGGCTGTAGGGGGAGGGTGGTTTAAGGAACAGCCCGCCATAGATGGAAGAGCTTTAAAAGGCCTGAAGTGGTGATTTTTTGAGCTGACAGTGGGACAAAATGAAGGAGCCCATTGGCTGAAGACAGGACTCAGAGCATCTCGGTGAGGAAACCGCACGCGAGCTTGGTGTGTTTAGGGAGGAGCAGGGCTGGAGCACGGCTGAGGCAGAGGGCAAGGGTGGGGGGAACTGGCAGGGCCATGTGGCCACAGGGACCCTGTGGGAACAGGAAGGAGTTGGCACCTTTATTCTAAGCAATAAGGGAGAAGCTACGGGACATCTAGAGCAGGAATACAATATCATTTACTGTTTTGGTTTGATATCAAAACTCATTCATTGCTTAAATTTTAAATGTCTAGAAGGGTAAGCAGTGAGAAGTCTCCATTCTGCCCAGCTGTTCAGTGTGCTCCCCAGCCACAACCACCGCTTCCAAATTCTCCTACATCCTTCCAGGGTCTTCATATCTGGGGAAGAAGCAGGGACGACGAGTAAGGACAAGTCTGCAAGGGCTGCAGGGCTAGTGTGCTGGGTGAGATCGTCCTGGGACTCCGGGGAAGAGGCCAAGGGCAGACTGAAGCCCTCTGACATTTGGGGCCCAGCTATGGAAGAAGAGTTAGTAAAGGTGCCCTATGAATGGGGCCGGAGGGCAGAGAGAAACCAGTGTGGCAGCCCATATGATAAACTATCTCCATGAGTAAGGGAGAGAGGAAGAGGATGGGGAGGAAGGTAGTCAACTGAGCCCGGGCCTGTGACAGCAGGACACAGCACTACTCACGGGACTGAAGAATGCTGTAGAGCTGAGGAGCTGGATGCACACAGCTGGAGCCTCCCGTGGGTACTTTAAGGTAACGGGAGCCCTCCTGAGATTTAGGACACATTCAAAGGTGACAGCTTGAGGCAGGGTTTCTAAGTTTTTTATTCATTTGTACAGTACAGTCTCTGTGGTAGCAGAAATATATGCACAAAAAACAATTCAATTGAGTTCAGAGTAAAGAAAAGCTTGCTAGGAATTCATACCATAGGACATTTCATATATCGGATTTCACAGCTATACTCTACCCACACCCCCACATTCCAGATACAGGCTGTACTTTCCCATAACAATGACCACATCATTTAGGGACACGGGAAAAGTGATGGCCGGGAAAGCTGGCCACGCGGAGAGCCAAGGCCGGGGTGTCTCTCCCTATTCAGGGGCAGCAGGAGGCAGAGGGGCCCTGGGGCAGGACAGTCCCCTGGGGAAGCCAGCCCAGGTCATGGAACCCCAAGCTCCAGGCCGAGCAGAGGGGAGAACAGAAAGGCTCAGAGAGCCAGGCTAAGCAGTCTGTTCTTGGGAAGGGAGACGAGGGTAGGAAGACAGGGAGGTCCCCACACAGCCCCTGTGACCACAGTGTCACTGTCTGATGCTGGAGTATCAAGCACACTCAGGAGGAAGGGCAATGGCAGAGATTATACCCAGTTAAAGTGAAACTCATCAGTATAACAAAATATGTATGACACAGAAAAGCTCCATGCCTCTACAGCAGATGATAGCTCGTGTGCAATCTGCTTTCTCCAGCATCAGCCACTTGGACCATAAGGGTGAAAGAGCAGCTTTTGGAGACACCGGGCGGAGACTGCCCTGTGTCAGTGACACCAGGAGGTGGGCTCAGGCCCTGGAGCAATTCACAGTATGTCTGCTCACTCACCGTCCCCGGGAGTAAGTAGTGTCTACAACACATTGTCACCTACAAAGAGCTGGTCACAATGTTCACCTGGTCAGCATTAACCATGGTACCCTCAGTAACACTGTGTCCTTCTTACTGTTCACCATATTTGACTGAAAACCTTGAGCTCTAAATAGAAAACATCTTCTCTAGATTAAGAGGATTCTGAGATATTGCACTATTGTACTATATTTCTGCTTCCCAATCTGGTTTCAGATCCTAGTGAAATCGTAAACAAAATATAAAATAAATGTTATTCCATTTTAATACAGTCTTTCGTATCATACATGTCTGAGTTCAGTAGCCAGATACCAAAAGTCTTCCTGCCAAAGCTGCAGTAGTCGAAGCAATGGAGGGGACCCGGTCAGCTGCCTCCCCACGTTGTCCGGTGACGAAGTGGCTGGAGTCCTCCCCGCAGTCACACCCCAAGCTTCCTCTTCTGGTCGAAATAGGCATCAAACCTTACTTGGGCATAGTCCTAGGAAACAGCATAAACAGATAAAGAGAAGCCTCACCAAGGGCTCCTGCTTGCCTGGACCCTGCCCATGTGTCCACCCCAGGCAAGAGCTGAGGGCACAGACCCAAGAGGACCATCAGCATGGGACAGGACTGTGCTGCAGGGCTGCTTGGGAGGCACAGTCTCTTCAAGCTTTCTGCACTGTCCCCTTCATACTTAAGTACACCTGGCTCACAGCCACCTCAGCCTGCCCTGCCACCTCAGCAAGGACTTCTCTACATATGTGGCACTGCTATTGTTCACTGTCTTGTTTACCGTGAATGCTGTGGGTACTGAGTGACCAGCTAAAGGTCCCTGGATGTGAGCAAGTACAGAACAAAAGGTGGAAAAAAGATGCCGCTGCACCTGCAGCATGGTTGTTAAAAAGAATACTGGGCGGGAGGGGAGAAAACTTGGCTTTTGCGTTCTGTTCTGTACAACTGTGGAGACACTATATTTCTGGGCCTGTTCCCTCATCTGGCCGTGAGCGTGGGTAATACAATTCTCTCAAAGACCCACTCCAAACCTAAAAGTTTCAATTCTAAATGCTGGAAAGACTACAATACCATATTTTGGAAAATTAACTTTGAGGTATGATTTCTATCCCACAAACGTGAACCTATTTGAAACCTGCGGTTCAGTAACATTTTTCCAGGTGCATCCATCCAGCTCTTCACCAGTGCCGCAATCACGAGAAGGAACTTTCCAGCATCTTCAAAAGTCCCCTGAGTATCTTGCAGTCCACCCCCACCTCTGCTCCTGGCCACAGGCAGCCACCGACCTGACTTCTGTCTCTAGACTGGACTTCTCCGTCCCAGAGTATCACGTAAATGGAATCATAGACTATGCACCCCTCCGTGTCCGGCTTCTTCCCTCAGCATTGTGTTTCAGAGTGATCCATGCTGTGGTGTATGTGGCTCACTTCTTTTTATCGCTGAGTGATTTTCCACTCCATGGATCAACATATCAGATTTATCCATTCACCTGCTGATTGGCATCTAGGCTGCTTCCAGTTTGGGACTATTAAAAGTAAAGCATTTGAGTGCAAGTGTTGGTGTGGAACCAGGCTTTGATTTCTTTTGGAGAATTACCCAGGAGAGGGATTTCTGGGTTCTATGGTAAGTGCACATTTATAACTCTATGAGACTGTCGAACCATTTTTGTTTTTTCAGCCTGGCCATGGCATTCGCATGCCCCTTGCTCCATGTGCTTGCCCACACTGGGCAGTTTTTAGAGTTTTAGCCATACCGTGGGTGTCTAGGGCATCTCACTGGGGTTCTAACTTACATTTCTTTTATGACTAATTATATGAAGCACACAAAAAGATGCTTATTGGCCATTTGTTTACCTTCTGTGAAGTGTCCAAATCTATCTATTTATATAGTGGGTTGTTCAGTTTCTTGCTGAGTTCTTTATACATTTTAAACACAAGTCCTTTGTCAAATACAAATGTGCAATATTTTATCCCAGCCTATGGCTTGCCTTTTTTTAATGGTGGTGTTCAAAGAGTTTTTCATTTTGATGAAGTCCAATTTACTGCATTCCTTTTCTCTTATGGTTAGTGCTTTACGTAACTGACGAAATCTCTGCCTAGGTCACAAAGCTCTTCTCCTGTTCTTGAGATTCCAGGTTCATTTTTTTTCCCCATACAACTCTTCAGCTGTTACCGGAAAACACAATCCATTTCCCAGTGAATTACCTTCGCCCTTCTATTGACTATCCGTTGATCACACATGTGTGGGTCTACTTCTGGGCACTCTGTTCTGTCCCATTTGATTTATGTCTGTCTTTATGCCAACACCACATTGTCTTGATTACTGTGCTTTATCCATGTCTTGAAGCCAGATAGAAGTCTTTGTTCTTCTACAAAACTGTTTTTTGTTATTGCAGGTTATGTTTTCATACAAATTTTAGAATCAGCATGTTAATCCACACAAAAAAGCCAGTGGAGATTTTGACTAGGACTGTGAGGAATCTATAGGTCAGCTTGAGGAAAATGGACAGCTTCATCTGCAGTCTTCCCAGCCACACGTGGGATTTAGCTTTTTTACTTTTAGCACTCTTTCCCCCTTTTTCCAGATGGCTGTCCGGTATCAATATCTGAACCTGTGACTTTGTTGTTCTAACCAACTGAGCTAACCGGACAGCCCACTTTTAGCATTCTTTTATAGTTGTCAGTGCGCAGATCTCACATATTTAAAAATTTATCCATAAATCTCTTGGTTTTTATGCCACTTTAAACATTTCTTCATGTACAATTTTTCTAGCATGCAGAAATGCAGCTTTTATATACTGACCTTTTATCCTGTGACCTTGATAAACTCACTCATTAGTTTAAATAGCTCTTCTATTGATTCCTTTATACACGCACACACACACACACGCACACACACATTTTTTTTTAAAAGATGACCAGTAAGGGGATCTTAACCCTTGACTTGGTGTTGTCAGCACCATGCTCTCCCTAGTGAGCGAACCGGCCATCCCTATATAGGGATCCGAACCTGCGGCCTTGGTGTTAGCACCACACTCTCCCAAGTGAGCCACAGGCTGGCCCTTGATTCCTTTATATTTTTGAACATTCATGATCATGTCTTCAACAGAAGGCAGCTTCTCTGCCTCCTTTCCAGTGTGTCTCGTTTTCTCGGTCTTGCCTTAGTGCACTGGCTCGGCGCTCCAGCACCATGCAAAAGGGCAGCAGCGCAAGGAAGCGGCCATATCCCGTTCTGTGCTTGGGCAGGGGTGGGGGAGCATTCAGTCTTTTACCCATAATTATGATGTTAGCTGGGGGTTTTTCATACATGCCCTTTACCTGGATGAGGATGTTGCCTCTATTCCTAGTTTGCTGAGATTTTTATCATGACTTAGTATCGGATTTTGCAGAAAGCTCTTTCCTGCATTCACTCAGATGATTTTACGGTGTTTCACCTTCATTCTTTTAATATGAAGAATTACATTGATACTTCAAATGTAAACTAAGCTTGCCTTCCAAGGATAAATGCCTCTTGCTTGTGATATATTATCCTTTTAAACAAGGGTACTTCAAAAAGTTCATGGAAAGATTTGTATTATCTTTTAATTCCATTTTTTTCCATGAATCTTTTGTTGTACACTGATATGTTTGTGGATTTAATTTTTGCCAATGTTTTGAGCAGGATTTCTGTGTGATGTTCACAAAGGGCACTAATCTGCAATTTTCTTAAAATGTCTTTGTCTAGTTTTGGTATCAGGGTAACGCTGGTCTCACCAAATGAATTGGGAAATGTTCCCTCCTCCCTTATTTTCTAAAAGCTTGTGTACTCCTAGTATTATTTCTACCTTAAATGTTTGATGATATTCAGAGAAGCCATCTGGACTTGCAGTTTACTCTATACAAAGAATTTTTTAAATTATAAATTCAGCTTATTTAATAATTATATGGTCATTTCTTTTTTTTTTTTTTTCCTTTTTGTCTTTTTTTGTGACCGGCAACGGATCGCAACCCTCAGTGTCACGCCCGTACCGGACCAGGACCGGCAACGGGATAGCAACCCTCAGTGTCGCGCCCGCACCTCGCTCAGCCAGTGAGCAGCCGGTCTGTACGTGGGATCCAAACCCTCGGCGGGAGCGCCGCCACACTCCCAAGCGGCGCACTGTAACAGTGTGCCACCGGGCCGGCCCCCATATATGGTCATTTCTTATGTCAGTTTTGGCAATTTGTATCTTCCAAGGAATTTGCACATTTCATATAAGTTGCTAAATCTGCTAGCATAAAGTTGTCTGTAATATTCTCTTATTCTTTTAACATCTATAGGATCTATAATGATGTCCTCTCTTGACACCTGCTATTGGTAATGTGTCTTCTTCTTTTCTTGCTCAGTGTAGCCAGAAATTAATAAATTTTGTTGATCTTTTCTAAGAACCAACTTTTGGTTTCACTGATTTTCTCTATTTTTTTGTTGTTTTCTATTTCAATGATTTCTGCTCTTTATTATTTTGATTATTCTATTTACTTTTGGGTTAATTTGTTCTTTTTCTAGATTAAAGTTACTGGTTTAAAAACTTTCTTCTTGGGCCGGCCTGTGGCTCACTCGGGAGAGTGTGGTGCTGATAACACCAAGGCCCCGGGTTCGGATCCCATATAGGGATGGCCGGTTCGCTCACTGGCTGAGTGTGGTGCTGACAACACCAAGTCAAGGGTTAAGATCCCCTTACCGGTCATCTTTAAAAAAAAAAAAAAAAAAAAAAAAACTTTCTTCTTACTTAATATAAACATTTATTTATTTATTTATTTATTTATTTAAAGATGATGACCGGTAAGGGGATCTGAACCCATGGCCTTGGTGTTATCAGCACCACACTCTCCCGAGTGAGCCATGGGCTGGCCCTTAAAATAAACATTTATAAAGTCATAAGTTTCTAAACAATGCTTTAGCTATATCCCACAAATCCTGATGTTGTGTTTTATTTCATTATAATTCAGTTCAAAATATTTTTTAGTTTCCCTTTTAATTTCTTCTTTGACCCAGAGTTTATCTAGATGTGTAATATTAAATTTTCAAATTAGGGATTTTCTAGGTATCATTTTTGTTGTTGTTGTTGATTTCTAATTAAATTCCATTGAGAACATATCCTCTATTATTTGAATCCTTTTAAATTTATCAAGACCTGTTTTATGGCCCAGCACGTGCCCTATCTTTATGAATGTTCCATAATCACTTGAAAAGAATATCTATCCTGCAATTGTTGGGCGTTCAATAATGTGCACCAGGGCCGGGTGGCTGAGTCTTCTGTACCCTCACCACTGTATGTCACTTGCCCCACCCATCACGGGGAGTGGTGAGACCTCCTACTTGGTGAACGTGCCTGCCTTTTCTTTCAGTTTTGTCAGTTTTTGTTTCATGTCTTTTGGAGCAAGACGGATGCATACACATTAGGGTTTTTATATCCTCCTGATGAACTGATGCCTTTATTATTATGAAATGCCCTTCTTTATCTCTGATAAAATCCTTGTTCTGAAGTCTACACTGTCTTACAGTGTCGTCTGGCCATGACTGCAAATCTGCTTTAAAAATCCAAATGCCCCCCTTCTTTCTTTGCTCAATGGCATCCCTGCATTCCCAAACCTGTCTAGAAGTAGAAATCATCCTAGTATAGAACTGAGGAGGATAAAATAGTCATTTTCCACCACCTGTCCCAAAGAAAGGTAGCTTCCTAGACTACACACTTCTGTGTGGTCCCCCACCCCACCCCGAGACACCCCACCGACATTCATTATGGAGAACAGAGAGTTTATCTAAAGGTTAGAAATAGTGTCTTCCTATGTCAAGGACAATTCTTAATGTGAGAATAAAATGACAGCTGAACTGAGTAACAAATATGCCTGCAAAAAACAGGTCTAATTCAGTTTCATCAGCTTCCAACTGGAAGTTGGGCACTACAGGCTGGAGAACAGAGTGCTAACAGATGAATAAAACCCTTCATAGCATGGGTGGGCACCACCCACACTCCTTCACTTAGTGTCCCTCGTGTCAGAACAGACTGAAGTCAGAGGCTGGACCTCTAGTGTTGAGATTTCTATAACCCACACCCAGAACTGCAGGAATGCCTAGCACTTCTCCAAAGCAGGGAAGGCAGGGCCTGTGGGCCCTGGAAGTGAGGGCAATCTCCAAAGCCAATCCTAGCATCAGTGAGAGTGGCTTAAAATGATGAAGCTTTCGGGCCGGCCCCGTGGCGCACTCGGGAGAGTGCAGCACTGGGAGCGCAGCAACGCTCCCGCCGCGGGTTCGGATCCTATATAGGAATGGCCAGTGCGGGCGACACCACACCCAGGGTTGCGATCCCCTTAACGGTCACGAAAAAGACAAAAAAAAAAAAAATGATGAAGCTTTCCAGGCTGAGCCACACTGTACTGATGACACCAGATCACCACATTCAGGTATTTGGGGGGAACAGGTAATACTCTTTAAGAAAAGGTCATTTGCTGCCAAGCATTCACATACACTGTAGCATTTTTTCCTGGGAGTAAAAGAAAAACATCACCCCTAAAACATACCATGTACCCAAATTCAATGGATGAAATCTTGGCCTGTACAATGGACCAAAGTCCCCAGAAGAAATGGGACGCAAGGGCAAACCTGTAATTACAAAAGTGAGAAACACACATGAAAGCTGTGGTACCAGTTATAGGACAGATGAAGTAATTTCATGCTAGACGAACATTTTAACTCATCTGGATGCAAACTTTGTCTGCCTTGGCAAATCCATGGGACTATATTCTATGACGACTGAGCACAGCGGGAATACCTCTCCGTCCTCTACCCACTTCTGGCCAGTGACAGGTGGACTTGCAGGTGTGAACACACCCAACTGCCTGGCCATGGTACACATAATGACATTCACAGGATGCAGGTGAAGGCCTTGGTGGCCATGCTGGTAGAGAAAGAAATAATGTATATACAAAGAAAGAGACAGTCTTTGCTGCAAGTATGAATGTACAGCATCAGCAACCAAATAGCAGGCCTCTGAATAACTTGCTGTTATTTCTAGGAGGGAGGATGAAGCTCTCACTCTCTGAGCAAGACACTTGTCCTCAAATCCCACCCTCATCCCACCCCCCTCTTCTCACATACAAGTGAAAGAGCAGATGAGCCTGTGAGCCACGTCACCATCTCTAGGCTGTACCAAGCCTCTTTGTCACTATGAATCCAAGTTCCTCCTTGCAGTGGATTGAATTATGTCCCCCCAAAACTCACTGAAGCTTGAATTGTGTACCCCAAGTTTTATGTATCAGAAACTTGGCCCCCACTGTGACTGTTAAGAGGGTGGGAAATCCTATTATGGTGATTGAAAGGTGGAGCCTTGAAGAGGTGATTAGATTGTAGGACCCTGCAGTAGTGAATGGATTAACCATGGTGGTCAGGGGCGTGGCTCTGAGGGCTTTAAAAGAAGAGAGAGGGGAGTCTCTCTCTCTCTCTCTCTGCTCCACCATTTCACAATGCGATACTCTGTCTTCACCAGCTATGTTCCCTGGACTTCGACATTTCTAGCCTCAGAAACTATAAGCAATACATTTCATTGAAAATTACCCAGTTCCAGGTATTTTGTTATAAGCAACAGAAACTGACAAATACACTCCTCAAACAATACCTTGGGGTCATTCACAGGAAGATAAGTTTCTAACTTAGAAATGCCCGCTTAATATCCTCACCAAACCCTACTGTTTCTCTTGTGGTCCCTGGCCCAGTAGAGTGCCTTGGTGCTCCCCTTTCTGTCTAGGTTCTCCTCCAACTCCATTTTTCTATTTCTACCCATTCAAGAAATAGAAAGGGAAGATTTATGCTGCCGGTGGAGCCAAAGAGGTAGGCTAGGTGGCAGCATGCTCAATGAGGGTGATATGAAGACTCTGAAGGCCACAAAGAGATGCTTTGTGGTAACTGGGGTGGATAGAACATGGTGGGCCAAATGTACTTCAACAGCCATTTTACCGAATAATGTCACAGGAGACCCCAAAGAATAGGAATAACCCACAGGCCTCTTGACTGAAGGGATAAGCCTGAATAAACAGTGACGTAGATCTCTGTTGAATCTGGAAGTTTTGGGGCCCGGCTTTGAGAGTTGTTGAGAAAACAGTTAAAAGCAAGACTTAGAATCAATGTACATGCATGTTAATCATTTTCTAGAAGAAATTGAAGAGTCACAACATATTAGGTGGGCCCACCACTCCGCACACGTCAGTGACAAGAGTCTGCAGGTCCTTGGTGGCAGCAGCCTTGTAAAGCTGAGTCTTTCTGTGTTACAGTTCAGAACACCACCACGCATCCTGACCTTCTTGTACACAGGACCTGTTCTCCTTGCCTGTTGTATGCTGAAATTCAAAAAATCTGAACAGTCTCAGCCACAATGGAGAAGCAGCAGATTCTATTTTTGACAGAGTATAAATCCTAGAGATTATAAAGGGGCTCCTAAAATACTCATAATTGCAAGTCAGCATCCCACACACAGCCTATGAAGGGTTATGAGCTATCTTTAGAAACCAAAGAAGAAAAACATTACCTATTGACTTCAAGCAACATTTCTTCTTTTATAACAGATTTTTCTTCACTACTAAGGCTTTCAAAGTCATTTTGGAATGCAGCCAAGTAACTGGAAATAAAATGGAGCTTAAAAAAAAGCAATTATGTTAGGATCAATGACAGTTAAAAATAGACAATGTCAATCAACAGCTGTCACGAAGCAGACCCACCTACAGTGACTCTTCTGATCATCTCAGAGAAAGCCTGGCAGATCCTACCGTTGCTGCTATGCCCAGGTGCAGGAGTTCTGGAAGCTCACCTTCCCTAGCAGTAATTACCACTTAATGTTCTCCACTGCGGCCAGTTTAAGTAGTTCTATTGGATTTGATGCAGTGCTATAGGAAACTGCTACTACTTCTAGAGAAAGTATTTTTCTAAGCAAATCCCCACTTGTTTTTCACTGTCTGATCTCAAAGCAAGGCATGCCTACACCAAACTTTTCCCCAAACTGGCTGGCACTCCATGCAAGGCTGCCACAAATATGCCAGGCACGAAGCTGTAGGGTATTCTTGATGCTCACTGTAGGTGCTTCCTCAGAGAGGGAGCTGGACAGGACAATGTGAAGATGCCTTCCAACGCTAAGCTGCCATGATTATTTACACACTTATGTTAATAAGTTGGCAAAGTTTAATTTTGCTTAGGAGAATAGTTTACCTAAGGTTCTACCAGGTTCCACCATTGGTCTACATATGAATTAGCAGATTCCTGTTCTTGAACATTTTACACTAAGGCAGCAGAACACAGGAAAGTACCATTTTCTTTGCTTTATAAGAAAACAGCTGAGTTACTTCTCCTTATAAGAATCCTTTTTAACCAGTTACCTAGTTGGAATGGCAATAGTTCTTCCTTTACCACCTTTCCCAATATCTCCCATTTTCCTTTCCTAAAATTGACTTTCATGTGTTACACCACTTCCAACCAGAGAAAGTACCACTCAAGGTCAAGCACTGTCCTAGGCAGGAGGTCCTGGAAGGGGCCTTACATTGTGAAGTAAACCTGGCATAGGAAAGATGACTGCTAATACCTTTTAAATTCTATGTAACAGGCACTATTCTGGCATTCATATTTTGTTTATTAGCTCACTTAATTCTCATGACAACAATATAATGTTTGCAGATGAAGAAACAGGCACAGAAATATTCCTTAGGTTAGCAGTGGCAGGTCTGGGATTCAAATACAGGCAGACCAGTTTTTAAAACCCATTCTCAGAACCACCACACTAGATGCGTAAATTACTGGGAAACACTAAATGCCAAAATTAGCAAATGAAGAGATAAAAACTTGACCAGATTAACACCTTAATGAAATGGAAGTCAATGACACTCCCTCCAAAAAAAAAAAAGTTCTAGGCCCAGACTTGTTTTATGGACAAGGTCTACCAAACTTTCAAAGATGTTCTCGTCTTATATGAATTTGTTCCAGAAAATAAGAAGGGAGCAAGTTGCCCAACTCATTTTAGAAGACTTGTATAACAGAAAGGACATTGTTGGGTGGGAGGGGGGAAAGGGAGGAGGGAGGGAGGTTTCAGTAATGGGCCACAATAATCAACCACATTTTATATCGACAAAATAAAATTTTAAAAAAAAAGAAGACTTGTATAATTTTGATTCCAAAAAGCAGACTTGAATAATAATATAAAAAATGAACATTACATGTGAAACATTACATGAGCATACATGTGAAACTCCTAAAATAAGATAATACCTAACTGGATCCAACAGAGCATTACAAAATAACACAATTCATTCAAATAGAGCTTATCTCAGAAATTCCAGGATGGCTTAACACTTAAAAATATTTCATTTGAGGGCCGGCCCGTGGCTCACTCGGGAGAGTGCGGTGCTGATAACACCAAGGCCACGGGTTCAGATCCCTATATAGGGATGACTGGTTGGCTCACTGGCTGAGCGTGGTGCTGATAAAACCAAGTCAAAGGTTAAGATCCCCTTACCGGTCATCTTTAAAAAAAAAAAAAAAAATTTCATTTGGGTGCCCGGTTAGCTCAGTTGTTTTGAGCACAGCCTTAAAACACCAAGGTCAGAGGTTTGGATCCCCGTACTGGCTAGCCACCAAAAAAGAAAATTTTTTTCATTAATGGATCAAAGAAGAAAAAACATGAGATTACGTCAACAGACGCAGAAAGATTATTTGATAAAGATCAACACCTATAGGGCCGGCCCGGTGGCGCACTGCTATAGTGCGCCGCTTGGGAGCATGGTGGCGCTCCCGCCAAGGGTTGGGATCCCACATACAGACCGGTTCCTGCTCACTGGCTGAGCGAGGCGCGGGAGCAACGCCGAGGGTTGCGATCCCGTTGCCGGTCCCGGCCCGGTGCGGGGGCGATGCTGAGGGTTGCGATCCATTGCCAGACACGGAAAAAGACAAAAAGGAAAAACAAAAAAAAAAAAAAAGATCAACACCTATACATTACCTTTAAAACCTCTCAGAAAAAAGAACTAGAAGGGAACCTCCTTAAATTTACATTACTGCACAATTTTAGCTTCGCCTTTCACTATAATGAAATCTGCCTTCTTACTGAAAATCTCCCCTTACTAGTCTGAGAGTGCTGGCCTCTAGCGCTACTCAGTTCTTACAGCCGTCTAATTTCTCTTCAGCATGGGCAATGATTCAAATACCTGAAGACTGTTCCGCAGGCTGAACAGTCCCACTCTCTCCCTTCCTTCTTATGTAATCCTGGCCACTTTGCTTTGGACATATTCAAGTTCATCACAATCAGCCTTGAAATATGGCCAGAAGAGAGCAAATGCCGTTTCTGGCTCCACAGCAAGTCTACATTTGAACAGCTACCCTTGGAGTGTGGGCCACCTACTGGAGACACTTCATCACATGCCTGGCTCAGAGCGGGTGCTCAAGAAACCCCTGCTGAGTGAAATACAGAAGCAGCTAACTGCGTTCATCGTCCTTGGCTTCTGTGTGAAGTGCAGGGTTGACCATTATGGTAGGTAACCGGCTGCCCTTGCATGCTCAGAGAGGCTCAACTTCAGCATCACTACCTACTTATCCTCAACCCAAGACTTGTGCAGCAGGCTGAGGAATGGGAGAGAGGGGCCCAGAAGGAAATTCCCACGAGAAACGATTCTCCACACAATCACTGGCCTCCCATAATTCAGAACAGGAAAGGGAACTGTTAACACCAAAGGCATTTCCTCCAGCTACTAAATTGTGATGCCCAAAAGATTACTTTTCTCTGCAGAGTGCAAAACGAACAAAAGGTGGTCAGTGATCCCCAAAGAGAAAGCCAGACAGCAGAACAGATGTTGGGCTTTTGGGAAAACACTAGAAGGAACTACAAAGGAGGTTGTGCTCAATAAATACAGGTATCTCTAGCGGAGAGCTTTTTTTTTTGGCAGAGATTTTTTTAAAAACTGGACTCAAAAATCAAAGTTTGTATCCACGTTTAACAGAAAAAAAACAAAACAAAACATTTTTTTTTTCCTTTTTGTCTTTTTTTACTGACCGGTAGGGGATCACAACCCTCGGTGTCGTGCCCGTACCAGGGACCGGCAACGGGATCGCAACCCTTGGTGTCGCACCCGCGCCGCGCTCAGCCAGTGAGCGGGAACCGGTCACCACATGGGATCCGAACCCTCGGCGGGAGCGCCGCTGCACTCCCAAGCGGCACACTCTCCAGTGCGCCACCGGGCCAGCCCCAAAACATTTTTTTTAAATATATGCTAAAGGGTTTGTCTAGGCATTCCACAATTTACAAAAGAGACCTTTAAAAACAAAGATGTGATTCTAACTGTATAAAACTGACCTGTGTAATTTACCTGTAAAGTACATAGAAACTAGTCTCCTACCTGTTGTTTCCTGCTGGGATACTTCCGAACGTTCGCTTTGAAAAAAGGGTACTTTTCACAGTTGTAATCGTACATCCATTCACAGAAATGATTCCCAATGTCGAATCCCCTGAAATGAGAGATAAGACAGTGCATGGAATGAGGCAAGCTGGCATGTCTGGAGTCTCTGTCCATGCAGGGAAAGGTTATCTTGGGCGTGCCATCCCGGCCCACACTGGACTTCGTGAGTGGAGAGGACTGTTACCACTCTAACGACAGAGAGGCCAATGAAGTGGCTCTAAGAACCCCAGCTGTTGAAGTTCTAAAGGCACCACCTAAACCACTACTCTAGAATGACATGTGTCCTGCAGTCAGTAGTTATGAAAAGAAATTGATCTCGGAAGCCAAAAGAAAACACCTAATTCTGAAGCTTCACTACATTGCCACCCCACTAGCATGGTCAGCTGAGAAGGAGACAGAGCTACTGCTTCATGCTCAGCCACCACAAGCTGCACACAAGAAGCCTCCACTTCCAGATGAAGAAGCTTTCCATTTAGAATGGTGTCCAGACTTATTTTCTTTTATAATTGCTTCATAAACATATCGTAATTACAAACAATACCAAAATAAAAACAGTTGACTCTAACATGGTACCTGTAATTATAACTGCTGTATTCAAAGTCAATGAGCATCAGTTTCTGTTTTTCAGAATTCTCTCGGCCTTCCAGCAATAAGATATTACCTGCAAAAAGGTTTGGATGACATGACTTATGTTTCACAATAGAAGGCTCAAGTCCTTGGAGAGCTGAGCTGAGAGACTGGTTCTGACCCTCTCAGGGAATCCTAACTGAATGCATCTTTCAGATCCCAAGGACATCACCAGGCATGGACCTAGACAGTACTGCTGTCACAGGAGGCCTGGCCCTGGGCGGGGAGGCTCCTGATCCACCTGGGCGTGAGAACACCCAGAACCCTGGGCTCACTGGAGAACAAAGGCCAGCCTCTCACTCCATTGTCTGGGGCAGCACTTCCTAAATGCTTCACATAGTAGCATGCCAGAGCTCAGGCAGGCCCAAACACCCCCACCCCTACAGCCCTGGGACTTGGCTCCCCTCTGAGGCAGGCTGGCTGTGGCACACCAGCTGGGAAACTCTGTCACACACTGTCCTCAGTGAGGATGTCAGGGGCAAGCTCAGCTATCACAGGGGCCTCATGCTTTGTCCTCGCCTGCTTTTTTCCCCAAGGAACATTTCCACAGGCAGCGTTCCCATGATGCTGCTTCCTTTCGTGCTGAATTCTGGGCCAGAGGTGGGTCAGCTGCCAGCCTGGCTCTTCAGGCAAATGTTCCTGAGATCTCTGCACTCTACAACATTCAGCACCTCAGGCACTAGGGGACAGGAACTGGTAGGCCAGCCTTTGCTAGTTTTTCAGCCACTCTCCCTCCCAGGTTTCTGGTGGGAACTACAATTTTTAGGTTTTTCAACATACTACTTCCACTCCAGGAGAAATTAAAAGGAGAATTGGAGGCAGATGCCCAAAGTAGCAGAACAAAAATATATGTAACAACTCCACCTCCTGGATCCTTTCTACACTTTGCCATCATGGAGGCAGCTGGCCCCTTTCCAAGCCCCTCTCTCTGGTGGTGTCTGAGTTGTTCATTAGCCCTCACCCCGCCCTGGCCCCCACCAGCAGAAGGGTGTGGGTAACATAACAAAGCTATAGCCAAAATGTCTGCACCCTGCTTGACTTGAGATAGCTGGCAATGTCAGCTAAAGAGCAAAAGAGATTTTGGCTCAAAGTAATGGCTTATTGATGACATGCCTTCATATGGGACCGTCCTCGAAATTAAAAACAAACTGCTGAGCCTGGCAAAGAAGGGCCTGAGTTTGGACCTCAGCCACCTGAGATTGGACAGGACATGGACAGCACGAACAGCGAGAAAATGGTGGCAGAGGGGGCCACACAGTGAGATGGGACCTCTGAGGAAACTATTCAATTTGAAATCACATCAGGTGAGGTTTTGCAATAGCAGGGACATGCAGCATTGTAATCTTTTTAAATCAGAGAAACCTGAAGTTGTTAATAGCATTGCACACTGGTACTGAGAAAGAAGGTGGCCTGACCCACTGCACTGAGCTGCGCCGTGTGGAAGGAAGGGCCGAGCATGGACTGGGGAGGCGCGCTTGTTCTTGTACTGCCTTTCCAGACTAAAAAAGCCACATACGTTCACCATAAAGGGTGAAAAAATAATACGTGACATAGGAAAGTCTAAGTCCTTTATCTTAACTCCCAAGTTTATTAAATATTCTTCAAGATTTGTTCTATGTAATATTCTTTTTACAGAAATGGAATAATACCCTACGTGTTTTTCTAAAGCCGCTTGTTTCTCTTAATATATCCTAGAAATTTTTCTATTGGTATGTAAACAACTTTATCTCATTCTTTTTTTTTTTTTTTCCCCTTTTTGTCTTTTTTTTTTTTTACTGACCGGTAATGGGATCGCAACCCTCGGTGTCGTGCCCGTACCGGGGACCGGCAACGGGATCGCAACCCTCGGTGTTGCGCCCGCACCGCGCTCAGCCAGTGAGCGGAACCGGTCTCTACATGGGATCCGAACCCTCGGCGGGAGCGCCGCCGCGCTCCCAAGCGACGCACTCTCCAGTGTGCCACCAGGCTGGCCCTATCTCATTCTTTTTAATAGTTACACAATCCTTCACTGTCTGGCTGTATCGTAATTTAATGTACCTAATACTCTCTTGATGGCCACCTGGCATTTATCACACACACTGGAGGTAATCTTCTAAGTATACACACAAACCCCATGAACATAGCGATTCTTACCTTCTTGACAGTCATTATGACAAAATACAACTGGAGATGGAGTAGATTCAAGCAATGATCTGCAAAAGGAAGATTTTCCTATTACCTATCAAACTTTTAAGTCAGGTGCAAACAGTCCCATCTTCTCAGCATGGCCAGCTCAGTTTCATGCTCCAAAGTAACACATGGTCTCTATGTGACATTTTTCATGTGAATTCTAAAAACCATGTCATTTTGTGCTGACAACTCTACTGCAGCTCAAGCCAGAAATCCACACAAGACCCCTCAGTACTTCAAGCTCTCTGCTGCTTGCTGCAGGGCCTTTGCACATGCTGTTCCTCTCCTGAAGCCACCTCCCCCCACCCCACCCCACCCCCAGCTAGTCCTCCTCTTTCCACTGCTCTTGATTTGCACAGTCCCTCCTCAGAGAGCCCTTCTCTGACCACTGACCCAGAGCAGATCCCTCTATGTTGGTCTCTTTTGGTCTCTGTTTCCTTTGCAGCACTTATCGTACCTTGGCATTATTTAATGTTTGTTTTTTTGTTCTCCTAATAAAACAGAAGCTCTCTGAAAAATGCCTTGGTCACCATTTCCTCAGCACCAATCATAATGCCTGGCACAGCAGACACTCAAATATCTGAGTAAATGTAGTTGTAAATACTTGTCAGGGTAGGTATGTGAGAATCCTGCACCCAGCCTCATGCTGAGGACACCACAGTGGCCTCAACTCAGAAATCAGTAATTGAGAGTCCTACTCTGCTTCCCCCCAAATCTAAGGTTTGTTTAACTGTTTCCCTCATCCACTTACTCTCCCCTGCCTGCCCTCACATCAGAAAAAATCTGCCCAAGATACTCCATTGCCCTAGTTACCAAACCACTCCTCTGAAATGTTCCTTCCTCCATGAAAACTTGCTGGACTGACTAGAGGCAAAGTGAGAACATTCAGAGAAAACTGTAATTCCAGATGACAAAGCTCATCTGTTTAAATTCACCCTACAAAACCATTGCAAAATGCCAGATATAAGACAAGCTAAATCCATGTTTATTGAAAACAGTTTTAGTGGACTAAGAATATTTAAATGTCTGGGCAGATGTACTTACTAATCAGGAAAAAGAAGCAAATACTCACCTCAGGTTTTCCAGTTCCAAAGGCAGATTGTAACTGAGGAATTTGTGGAGCTGTTTAACTCTGGATTCCCCAGTAAATTTAATTCTCAGCACCTGATTTAAATATCTGTTATTTTAATAAAAAAAAAAAAAAAAGGGAGAGAGACAAAGGATCTCTGCTCAGTCACCAAGGCTTGTTCTTGGGGCTTTAGCTGAACTTCAGCATCCAGCACAGTCACAGCAGTCGTGGGGGCCGCTCTGGCTCCCATGACCAAGGGGAACGGCAGCAGGCTTGGGGAACACAGCATTTGAGAAAGTTCATTTTCTGCCCATCCACCCGTTCAATAGCATTTCTGGAAACAAGTCTTTCTTGGTTCAGGAATTGATTCCTATGCACAAGAAAGACTTATTCAAGAGGCAAACACCACCACCTGACAGTCTGCACACTGGTGAAACCAGAGGAAGACCTGTGACCACCTCGGGAAACCAGGGCTCACTTTTGATCCTTTTGGGAGCCACCAATGTAAAACTCAGGACCAAGAGATTTGACCACTTACTTTTCCATTGTTCCAAAAAGCCATTTTGGTTCCTTGTTGAATGGCATTTTCATACCATGAAATGTGGCCATTTTCTCAGCTATTTCTGCAGAAATATCTGGCAAACTTAATTCTTCAGTGTCTAATCGCCGACTCTGAAATATAAAAGGGAATCAAAAACTGACATTTATCCAGGTAACTTAAAAGTGTGAGATCACACAATCTTAAGAACTAGAAGCCAGTTTTTGTAGAGCATTTACGTCTCACCCAATGCACAAAATTCCCTTAAGAATGGACAATGTGCCCCCACAGATAGTGACCCAGGAATTGTTCATGGCACTTCTACAATGAGGAGCAGGCTACCACAAGGGTTTCATTTTGAACCCTTTTTATTTATTTATTTATTTTTTTTGTCTTTTTCCGTGTCCGGCAACGGATCGCAACCCTCAGTGTCGCCCCCGTACCGGACCGGGACCGGCAACGGGATCGCAACCCTCAGTGTTGCCCCCGCGCCTCGCTCAGCCAGCGAGCGGGAACCGGTCTGTATGTGGGATCCGAACCCTCGGCGGGAGCGCCTCCGCACTTCCCAAGCGGCGCACTAGCGCAGTGCGCCACCGGGCCGGCCCCTCATTTTGAACCCTTTTTAATTGTGAGAAAGCCCTTCCTCAAATTTTACTACTTTCCTATCATCTATGGTGCTACCCTCTAAAACCACAGAGTAAGTCTATCTCCTCTGCCCAACGCTAAAAGTCCACATCTTCAGCAGTTTATCATACAACCCAGCTCCTAGCCCCTGCATCAGCTGGACATTCTCCTCTGAAGTACTGCAGGTAAGATGAGGTGTTCAGAACAGGTTTTGACCAGGAGACAGCTGTGAGTTCAAGAGGAGCCATTTCCAACTGCCCCAGGTGGTGTCCTCGGTGCCTGGCCCACAACAGGCTCTCTCAGGGCAGAGCTGAACAAGGAAAGAGAGTCAAGGAGGACTTACTCCCAGCCTCTGGACACTGCCCTCCCCTGCTGTAGCCTGAGGCTATGCTAGTTTTAGTTGCCCTTTCACAGCTGCTCCCAGGAGCTCAGACCAACAAAGACCATTCCAGACTCTTCATGTGAACTGCTCCTCTGCAGAAACCGAAGAGATATTCCTCTGAAAATGTAAAGTGGTCCAGCACCAGGGTTAAGAGTGAGTGTCCCCAAGTTAGAGAAACAAACCCCAGTTCAAATTCTGGCTTTAACACTCATTTCAAAAGTACATGACCAAGGGGAAGTTACTTAATACCTCTGTGCCTCATTTTCCTGTTTCTATAAAATGGGAATGACAATGTTAAGTCCCTCCCAGAGGTGCGTGCTGCAGGATCTTGAAGAGATAATGAGTGGGAGGCCTCTAGAACAGCACCTAACCCAAGGCATGTCTCCACAAATGGCAGGTGCTATAGAATCAGAGGTGAGAGCTCACTAAAGCATCAGGCTCAATCTTCTGCTCAACTTGGAATCCTCTCCACAACATTCTCAATAAACTCTCATGCTATGACAAGGACAGGGAACTCAGCTGCTACTGGCAGGACACTTAGGACTTCTCACAGCAGCTCACTCAGCTTTCAAAAATGTCAGTCGGGCCGGCCCGGTGGCGCACTGGATAAGTGTGCTGCTTGGGAAGCGCGGCGGCGCTCCCGCCCGAGGGTTCGGATCCCACATACAGACCGGTTCCCGCTCACTGGCTGAGTGAGGTGCGGGGGCAACACCGAGGGTTGCGATCCCGTTGCCGGTCCCCGGTCTGGTATGGGGGCAACACTGAGGGTTGCGATCCGTTGCCGGACACGGAAAAAGACAAAAGACAAAAAAAAAAAAAAAAAAAAATGTCAGTAATGCGTCTGGCCATGCCATGCAGAAAATTTAAGCTACCATGCTCAAAGGTGAACAAATCTCAGGTATTCCAAGTTCCTTCTACAGCACAGAGAAAGAGAAACAGAGACTATATTCTTAGAGGTCATTACTATCACATGCCCTTTGAAAGATGGCTACAGGGGCCAGGTGAGAAGGAATTCATCTCATTCCATGCACTGGTCAAGAGTAAACCTAGAAATCACATATGGTATTAGACTGAACCAAATGAAACTGCCATTTTTGTAGGTCAAAAACAGTTGAGGATTGGCAGTTTCATATGGTTCAACCTAGTATTTCAACAGAATTTTTAAAAAATCTTGGGCCGGCCCCATGGCTCACTCAGGAGAGTGCAGTACTGGTAGCGCCGAGGCCACAGGTTTGGATCCTATATAGGGATGGCCGGTGCGCTCACTGGCTGAGCATGGTATAGATGACACCAAGCCAATGGTTGCGATCCCCTTACCGGTCAAAAAAAAAAGAATTTTTAAAAAAATCTTCACTATGCAGTAAACAATATATACAAAAGAGCACAGAACAAAATCAGTTCCACAGATGCTACAACCTATGTGTCCTAAAGGATGCCCACAGCCCCCTGCCAAGATACCATCATTATTCTGAATTGTGTTAAAATTCCCTTACCTTTTCTTTTCTTTTTCTTTCTTTTTTTTTTTTTTGTGACCGGTAAGGGGATCGTAACCCTTGGCTTGGTGTCGTCCGCACTGCACTCAGCCAGTGAGCGCACCGGCCATCCCTATATAGGATCCGAACCTGCGGCAGGAGCACCACTGTGCTCCCAGCGCCGCACTCTCCTGAGTGAGCCACAGGGTTGGCCCCAAAATTCCCTTACCTTTTCTACAAAGAGAACTTTTACCAATGTGCATGTGTTCTTAAACAACTTTTAAATTTGTTTTTATTGGGCTTTATAAAAATGGTATGATACTATTTGTAGTCTTCTACAATTTGGTTTTATCACTCCATATTATGTTTTTAGGATTCATCCATATTGCCACTTATAAACACATGAAGTGTTTTATATTTGCAAAATTATTTTAAGTACTTTAAATTTCATTTGATTCTCACACCTAACAGATGTTCTGTCTTACTGGGGAAGTTACAAAGAAAAACACAACCAGGTGCCAGGGAGCAGACTAAAGGTAAAATCTGACACAGTGAAGGTACTATCCATTCATCTAAACACATGCTCAGGGTTGGCAGCTAGCATGGATGGTGCCATTGTGCCACCTAGAAGAGAGGAGCCCTTCTGGGGAGACAGATTCCAAGATGGCTCCCTGTTTGGGGGCTGTGGGGGCTCCAGCCTCCAGCTAGATGCATATTGAGCCCTGGCAAGCAGAGCACCCCTCAGCAAGGTGTTCTGTGCTAGGCCCTGTCTGCACCACTGTACAAGGTGGCCCTGCACACATCGAGGCCTCTTGCAGGCAAAACACCCCATACGGCAGGGCAGGAAAAGATGGCCATTCATGATCCTAGTCCTCAAGGAGCTTACACTCAATTAAGACAGGGAATCTTATCAAATCTCCAAACCCGACAGGGAGGGGGATGCAGACCAACAAGGGCCAGCACTGCCAACCAAACTAGTTTGGAAGGCCGACAGCCAGCCTTTACCTCTCATGGTCACTGAGAAATCAAGAACTCTCGAGGCACAAAGCATCATGCAGGGCATGGTATGTATGTATAGAGCGGGGCAGGGGCTATATTTCAAATATGCACACAGAACGCTAAGACACAGCACACAGGTAAATGCTACAGCCACATTAAAAATGCCTCAGGACAACAAGAAAGGGAAAATAATCCTGTCTGCCTGGAAACAAAGAATTTGAGCCAAGCATAGGAATTTTGACAGGCAGATGGGTGTAAGGAAGACGGGGGGAGGCAAGTGGGAAAGCATAAACAACCTAAGGGAGAATAATGGGAGACAATGGAAAAGAATAGTCATGGCCAGTAGGGCCATGGCCAGAGATGTGGCAGGGTGTGGTCAGGGCCAAGGTGTTCAAACAGTGAGTTCTACGAAGGGCCCAGAAGTTGAGAGGAATAAGGTAAAAGGAGAAAGTTTCAGGGTAAGCAGCCTTAGGGGATGATGGAATGGTATGTTTCATATATATTTTTCATTGGGATAAATATGTCTTTGCAGGAAAAGAATGAGGTTCTGATATAAATTCAAAAGAAATCTTACTTTTTATTTCTGGTACAGTTTAATACCATAGGTCATATTTAATATTTCAAACCACAGCATTTAAGGTTGTTGCAGCAATGAGACAATCCAACTTCTCTGTCTGTGGCACATTTCAAATGACCGTTTATGAACAAATCTTACCGGGATGAACTGCTCCAGTCGGCCTTGGGGAAAGATGCCATAGAGTTTTGGCCCAAGTGACCTCTCTGCGAGAATGGCAAACATAACACTCTCCAGAACCATGGCCTCGGCCCCCTAAAACAGACAGCAACAAGTCAGGTGTTTGCTGAGTGCCAGGCAGCACAGGTGCTTTCCCGTGAGCGATCTCCTCTAATCCTCACAACCATTCTCTGATGTGTGTACTGTCACCTTCACCCCCATCTTAAATAAGAAGAAACAGAGTTTCCAAAGTCACAGATTGTGTAATATGTAAGATCTATGTTTGCGAGCATTTCAATATACTGATGAGATTTTAAATTCAAGTTTAATTTAGGTCACTAGTTCCAAAAATAGGACAATATCCCTTAGTGCTTTTTTTGTTTCTGTTTATTTTAAACTCTGTATATGTCTAACCCTTGGCTTCTCATCAAAGGCAACAAACCATCCACTCTGGCGAGGGCTGATGTGCTTTTCGGTTGAGAGTGCCTTGTGAAAGCAAAGGGCCTTCTGCCTACAAAATTGGTCTGTTGATCCAGTAAGTATAAGAATTACTGATTTAGGTCTGAGGTCTATGGTTTTTTGGTCCAAAGTGCACCCTAGCATGGGATGTCCCAGGTTTTTTCCCAGCTCTTGTACCCAACCTTTCCCTCTGTAGTTTATAATGTTTACCTTCTTGCCAAAATCTCTATGATGCTCGCATGTTCTATCTTCAGTCCTAATAACTACTATGGGATCTGTAATCATTCTGCCTATAAAAGCCATCCTTTGGTCTCAATTCAAATTCATTCCTTAGTCTGTTTCCCTTAAACAGCAAATTACTTAAGAGTTTCCATTTGTTGGGGTGAAGGAGTGGAAAGGAGGCCTTTTCAACCAGAAAGTACACCCAAATCTCTTAAAGAGCTTTCACAGTTAGAGATTCCTAGGTCCTAATCCGAGTTTGTAAGCCAATGTGTCTAAGGCGAGGTGCCAGCAGGTGTGTTCTGAAAAAGCTTTCAGATGATTCTTGTTCACCTCTTGTGAAAAAATGTGCTGTGGGGGAATGTGATCCAAGAGAAACGGTGTTTAAAACACTCACATTACAAAAAACAAACAGAAACTAAGAGGACAAACTCACTAGGCAATGACATAATACTAAATCTAGTAAGAAGAAAACAAATGAGAAAAAAGAAAAACTACTTCCAAAGCATACTGAAGTAGAAAGTAGTTCAGTTAACTTTTACATTTTGTGGGGGCAAATGGATTTGCCAGTGATCCCCCACAATTATAGTGTAACCATCACTTGTATTATCCCTACAATTATGGTCTAACCACCACCTTGTGAGGACCAATCTTTATTTGCTAATCTGCAGTTCTGGGCATATGACAATACAGATATAGCATTGATCTGCCATGTTAGTGGATTTTAGAGCAGGATTTGAAATCAGGCAGATTTTATTTTTTAAACCCTTAGAGAATGACAATAAATACCTCATATCTCTATTTAATTGGAAAAATGTTTTCACTCATTTGATTCTTACAGCAAACCTGTCCAGGAGACCCCATTTTACCTCAAGCCCAGCATCACAGAAACTCTCCAGGGGAGCTTACCCAAAGGCTTACAAAGCATCCTCAAAGTCTCTACTTCAAGATACGCTTCCCATCTCCCCCAAGCACACGTCTGGGTGCTCCACAGACCAGAGTGCCTCCCACCCTGCACAATGTGCAGAAGGAACAGAGGCTGGCATAGTAGGACAGGGAGTGCTGGGCTTGGAGCCCAGGCCAGGTAATCTGTTATTTGCAGCTCTTCACAGCCCTTTGCCATCTGTACAATCTCCCACAAAATTCCAACTCACTACTTACTCGTTTCCAATGAGTATTTCTTTTGTTTGGGTATCCAGAATTTTGTTAGAATTAAAATTTGTTTTTCAACTTTGAACTTTCAACATTTCAACATGACTAACTGAAGAGCATTAGGGATGGCACTTATACCCTCAAGTTTGAAATTTCAAGTTTTACAGATTTAAACCCTACTTTATTACTTCACTAAGTTCAGCATTTTGCATATCATGTCCACTCAGAAAAAGGGATTCTTGGGGGCCGGCCCGGTGGCGCACTGGATAGTGCGCCGCTTGGGAAGCGCGGCGGCGCTCCCGCCCGAGGGTTCGGATCCCACATACAGACCGGTTCCCGCTCACTGGCTGAGCGAGGCGCGGGAGCAACACCGAGGTTTGCGATCCCGTTGCCGGTCCCCGGTCCGGTACGGGGGCAACACTGAGGGTTGCGATCCGTTGCCGGACACGGAAAAAAAGACAAAAGACAAAAGACAAAAAAAAAAAAAAAGAAAAAGGGATTCTTGGAGTTGAGTTTCCATGTGGCCCTGTCAAGGTACTTAGATTGAATACACTATCCAGAATCCTCTCCAGAGCTGAGTCAACCCATTCCCAGAAACCAGTGCAAAGAAGATGGAAAGAAACTTAAGAACTTTCCAATTCTCTTTAGCATTGTTCTGAACACTGCAAACAAAAAAAACATTGTTTTTATATAAGATTGCAGTTCAATATTTATTCACGGTAGGAAGGGGGGGTGGTGTGTGGAGGGTAAAATTTAGAGGGGAAGAAAATGGAAGAGAAAGACCCCCAAGGCACAAGCAAGAGAAATGGACAAGTTAGGAAGAATGGTAGGTAATCTCAGGATGAGTACATCAACTACTGGTGGTCTTTTTGCAATCACTAGGTCTCCAAATACCTTCCCGCCTGCTACTTAAAGAAAGTGAGCACAGTAAAGAGTGGGCTGGACAGAAATGGCTTGGTCCGCCTCTCCACACCATGCGCTGGTTCAGCTCTAGGCCATCGAACCACAACTGGCACATTCCCGGGAAAAGTGGTACTACTTTTTCAGAAGAGAAGATCAATACCTCAACTTGAAACTATTTACTCCGACTTCAGAAATAAAGGTTTATTCATATATTCACCTAAAAAGCACTTACTGAATGTCTGCTATATACCTGGCACCATGCTAAGCAGCAGGGACACAACAAAGAACATGGCACTTGCATTCTAGCAAAAGAGAAACATACTGAGTGAGTGAGCACAGTTGCCAACTGGCAACACGACCCTGGAGGGCCATGGGGGATGTGACACAGTGTGACGGGGCGGCTATCTCTGGAGGCAACACTGACCTGAGGCTGAGGGGTGAGAAAGAACCTTAAACAACCCCACAGGAGCACAGAGGCCCTGACATGGGAGTAAGTTCAGGCAGTGAAGGTACAGGGAGGGACCAGCACAGCTGGAAGAGGGCAGTCAGGGAAAGCAGCACATGGCGGCAGCTGGAAAGGCGGGTAAGGGGGGCAAGTGGGTTGTGGCTCATGGAGGGTATGGGCCAAGGGCACAAACTGAGAAGTCTTCAACTATCAATGTTTAAAGCTTATGAATTAGGACAGAAGAGGAGCCAGCACAGGGCCTGAGAACTCCCGACATAAACACACACACACACACACACACACACACACACACATACACCCCACCCCCACCCCCGAGCAAATGTTATACAAAGCAATACTTACCCTCACGACTGGGTAACACTTTCTAATACTTTCTAGTCTATTTCATTTTTTTAAAAAAGCAACAAAGGGCCGGCCCGTGGCTCACTCAGGAGAGTGCGGTGCTGATAACACCAAGGCCATGGGTTTGGATCCCATATAGGGATGGCCGGTTAGCTCAATGGGTAAGCATAGTGCTGACAACACCAAGTCAAGGGTTAAGATCCCCTTACCAGTCATCTTTTAAAAAAAGAAAAACAGGGGCTGGCCCGGTGGCGCACTGCGCTAGTGCGCCGCTTGGGAAGCACGGTTGCGCTCCCGCCGAGGGTTCGGATCCCACATACAGACCGGTTCCCGCTCACTGGCTGAGCAAGGCGTGGGGGCAACGCCGAGGGTTGCGATCCCGGTCCGGTACGGGGGCGACACTGAGGGTTGCAATCCGTTGCCAGACACGGAAAAAGACAAAAAAAAAAAAAGAAAGAAAAAAAGAAAAACAACAAAAATGCTAACGTCTCATACCCTATTAGAGGTTTACAATCCACCATTTGAAAAACTGATGTAAGTGTGGGTAGCAGGAAGAAGAACCAGGAGACAAGGTGAGGTTAAGGGCCAGACGTCATGTGGGAGAGTGGCATTCTGTGTCAGATGCTGTTGAGGGTCAAATAGGAGAAGAGGAAGAAGGTGGCCTATGGATTTGCAACATGAAAGTCGTTGGTGGCAAAAACAAGAACAGTTTCCAAGGAGTGACAGGGACAGGGTCAGATTGGAACAGATGAAGAGTGAGTAGAAGAGGGGGAGGGAAGTGGATAGGGAATGGAAGCAAGGCGTTTAAATGAGTTTTCAATTTCTCTGTAACATTTCATTTATTAAAAAAAAATTAAAATCCAGTAATAAGAACGTTATGAACCTCTTGAGAAGACACAACAGCATTTCTGTGATATTCTAGCCAAAAATGAATAACCTCATTCCAACCAAGAGAAAACATGAGACAAACCAAAACTGAGGGGACAGTCTACAAAATAACTGATTGGTACTCTCCACAAGTATCCAGATTGTAAATAACAAAAGAAGAACTGTTACAGGTTGAAAAGACTAAGGAGAAACAGCCAAATGTAATGTTGGGATCTTGGCTAAATCCTGGGATAGAACAAAAGAAAACATTAGTGGAAAAACTTGTGAAATTCAAGTAAGGTCTGTAGTTTAGGTATCACTATTGTACCAATGTTAATGTCCTGGTTTTGATCATTGCACTGTGGTTATGTAAGACGGCAACATTAAGGAAGCTGGGTAAGGGATGTATTGTTTTTACTATTTTTTTGTAAGTCTAAAATTATTTTAAATAAAAAGCTAAAAATAAATAAATTCATATAAAAAAGACTGAAATCAAGCAATATAACAAAATGAGCTGCCAATTCTGTATGGTGGGAATAAATGTGCTTATTACGCAATTTGTACTATCCCATAATCCCAAAACTTTTCTCCAAAAAAAGGAAATTGGTGTTGTCAGTACCGCACTCTCCCGAGTGAGCCACGGGCCGGCCCTTTTTTTTTTTTTTTTTTTCCTCCCTTTTTTGAACCGGCCCACCCCCCCCCCCCCCGGGGGGGCCCCGGGCCGGCCCTTTTTTTTTTTTTTTCCTCCCTTTTTTGAACCGGCCCACCCCCCCCCCCCCCGGGGGGGCCCCGGGCCGGCCCTTTTTTTTTTTTTTTCCGTCCTTTTTGAGACCGGCCACACCGCGCTCAGCCAGTGAGCACTGTGAGCGCACCAGTCATCCCTATATAGGACCCGAACCCACAGCGGGAGCGCTTCTGCACTCCCAGCGCTGCACTCTCCCGAGTGCGCCATGGGCTCGGCCCTCAAAAAAAGGAAATTGGGACGTGAGAAAGCAGACACGGTAGATACTGTCTCAAGAAATCTTGCTAGGAAAGGGAATATAGACAGGGTGGGGCCACAGAGAGCACTTGCGGGCTGAGGAGAAGCGGCCGGGCAAGTAGGGGAGGAGGAAGGTGAGAGGGGGAAGGGACAGGTCAGCAGTCAGTCAGGCCTGGGAGAAGGCAGAGAAGAGCTGCGTGGGGTGCAGAGGCTTACAGTGGGCAGCCGAGAGCAGGAGGATAAGCAGCCATTCAAGAATGAGTTTACACTGCCCGCCTAGGGTGAGGACAGGGGGGGTTTGAAGAGAAACAAGAAGGCCTGAAACAGCCTCTGTGGGCAGGAAGGCAAACCCACAGGAGAAACTCAGCAGGCTCCCAGGCAGCGGCAAGCACCCACCCGACGCTTAGTGCCATAACCGTGACACAAAACCAGCCCTCCCAATCGTGTAGTGCTCCTCTAACAACATTTAGTGGCGTGGGTCAGCACAGAGAAGGCAAGTAGGTGGCTGGCTCTGCGGGCAGTAGACAGGAGAGTGGTGACAGGGAGCTGGGAGAGGGAGGAGGGAAGGCTCATAAGGCAGTGTGGAGGGCTGATGGAGGGCGAGCAGGCAACAGGGTCTGGACTGGCAGTCTCCATGGTGGTCACAGAGCCACAGCTGCGGGCCACCAAAGTGAGCCAGGAGGTCAGCAGGTGGCAGGCTGTTGAAACTGGCATGTCAGAGGGGTACAGTTTCTAGTGATAAGGTCTAGGGCATGGGAGGAGAAATGGAAGGAAAAGGTCATTAGGCGATGAGGAGGTCAAAATGCAGTGGCCAGAGAATAACGGCAGGAACCAGAATGGACTCAAAGACCGAGCTGCATACTGAAGTCTTCACAGAGTGAAGGTGAGTACCAGGGCAGCCAAGAGATGACAGCTATCAGAAGGGTGGAGGACGGTAGAGCCACAAGGTATGGGGTTTCTACAGAGGAAAAATGGTTGGCAGCAGGAACAGGAAGTAGTAAAAGGACCTCAACCCCACCAGTGGCCCTGAGACACTTTGGAGGCAATAAGAAAACATCCTCCTCTGGAGAGGGCTGCAAGGGAGGGGTCCTCTGGGCAGCAAGGCTCCAGGAAGGCCAGTCAGTGGAGGAAATGTTCAGAAGTATGGGAGCTACAGACAAGACTGCGATTCAAAGAAGCTCAAAGATGACGACCAAACCAACTCCTCCGCTCTGACAACCAACTGCCTCTCTCTTGATCCAAAAGAATTATATGCAAAATCAGACCCCTACAGTTTTCTGGTAGGCCCTGAGGAGGAAGGGGAGGTGTAGCCATGTCTGATGGTCACCTGAGGTTAGGGCATATGGGATGGATGGGAGGAGTGGACAGGAAGTGTGTGTACCAGCAGGCAAGGGCAGACACACCTGAGATGTCAGCTGGCCCCACTGCAAGCAGCCTTCCATAGGTCTTTACTATGCCCTGCTGTACCAGGTGCAGTGGTGGAAGCAACATGGCAAGAAGCAGGAAGTGCCTGCTCTGAGTGAAGAAGCTCACGAGGGCAGCCAGCCAGTTATGTAAACCTGCACATTTACAGCCACAGGAAGTGCAAGGAGAGGCACACGGTGCTGTGAAAGCAGGAAATGGAGAGGCAAACCTCGTGTGGAGAACCAGGAAGGGACTCCCTGTGGGAGAAGTCTTTGAGCTGACCCTCACATGAGCAGAAGTGGGGGGTGGGAAACGGGTAAAGGCATGGAGCCAGCCAGAAGGAAAAGCATCTGCAAAGGCCCTGTGGCAGGCAGAAAACCTTAGGGGTTAGGCCAGACGGCTGAAGTGCAGGGAATGAGGGGGGAATGTTGTGAGCTGAGGCTGGAAAGATCGGCAAGGGTCAGGCCATGAGGACCTGGTAGGATAAAGCCCTCTTAACTTGGCCTGAAGCAGAGTGAGTAAGCAGGGAAGATTTTAAGGAATAGGCTGATATGATCAGATCAGCAATTCAAAAGGATGACTGTGGCGATGATAAAGAGAATGGTTTGTGGGAAACAAGAGAAGAAGTGAGAGACCAGTTAGGACACAGTGACAGCTTTGACTAGGAAGGTGGGGGTACAGTGGGAGAAGCAGACAGAGCCAAGGCACAGTTCAAAGGAAGCAATCAACTTAACTCACGGTTTGGATATGGGGCTGAGGGAGAACAGAGCATCAGAAATGACTCCCTGCTTTCTGGCCTACATAACCAGCTGAGGGGACGAGAAAGAGAATACCAGAAATGGCCAGATTTTGACTTTGCTGTTGGGGAAGGGGAAGAGATCATGTGTTCAGTCTGGGACAGGGCAAGTCTGAGTGGCCTGTGAAATATCCAGGGAGAGATTACTACTGATGGTGTGAGCTCCAAGTGGGGGTCTGAGCTGCAGGAAGGAAGTTGTAACCCTTCGGCTTAAGAATCAGGTGACCTAGGGAGAGACGACAACATGAGAAGAGGGCCAGGGCCAAACTGTGGGGAGTTCTACCACCAGACAGCAGGAGGATGAGCCTAGAACGAAGACTAAGAAGAAGTGGAAGAATGCGAGAGATGTGTACTCTGTGTGTCTGTGTTGTGGATGCCTACGGGGAGGAAACATTTCAAAACGGGCAGGGGTCATGTTAAATGCTGCTGAGATATCCGTATAAAATGAAAACCGAAAATGTCCTTTGGATTTAGCATCATAGCGGTCCTGGTGATCCAACATTTTCAGCTACAGGATGTACTGCAGGTCTAAACTCAAAGAGCTCAGAATGGTTGAAAACAGAATGCCAATCACTTCCCAACCAACAACTGCCTCAGTCCTTGTCACCCCAGAGAGCACAAGTTCTAGATCCTCTTGACCAGGGTCCCCAGAGCAGGAAGCATTAAATCAAGCCGCTGAAATGTGAGGAAAAATATCAGCCCTCTTATTCCTTTCTAATTTCTATTTCTTGATTATTTTAATAATCGGTACACAATTGGTAAAATCAATATGTTGATGTGCACGTGTATCCATGTCTTAAGTGTATGTTGTGCATGCCAGTGTGTGCGCAAATGCGCGTATGCACACACATGCACACACACACAACCCCTACCCCTTATCAGTAAGCCTGCACATACTGGGAGAGAGCACTCAAAGGGTACTCGCTCCAAGGCTGCAAGCTTCCTGCGCCAGCTTCCCACTTCTGAGACTCTGCATATCAGTGCTCTCGGCTCAAGCTTTTCTGCTTACATGCATTTCCAAGAGTGGAGTCACTTAACTAAGTCTCTTGGTCTAGAAAGAAACCTTTCTAACCTGGGTATCAGGCATAGGAAAAAACACTGCTGCTTCCCCAGGGGAAGAGAGTGGCCACTAAACAACTGGCCAGTGACCCACTTCCTGATAAGAAGCCTAAGAACGGCCAAAAAAGGGCGAGAGAGATACTACAGAAGCAGAAGCCAGGTGCCTCCATGTCAGAATATCACACACAAATGCTACCCAAACCTCCATCTCTTGGCACCCCAAATGCTGTTTAGATTGCCACAAAGACACCAAACTTCCACCATCTATACTCTCAGGGGAATCCGGAATACCCATTGTTCATTCAGTCTTAACGAGGAGGCTCTGGATACGCCAAGAGCCCTTTCTCTAAGAAAGATCAGGATTTTCCAAGGGCAGATAACAAGGCACCAAAGCGCACAGAAGTCGAAGTTGGCCAACACCAGTTTACACGTCACACAGATGCAGAAGGGACTGAATTACTTACTTGAAATTCATTTTCTTTCTGAGCTTGTTCGGATCCCTCTTTATTACAGGACCTCTACGAATGAGAAAAAGCAAACACTTCCGGTGAGATGGGGAACACTAAGCAGACACTAACTTTGCAACCACCAGAACATCAGGGTTTATAAAACATTACAGATCTTTAATCAGAGTTTCTCAGCCCACCGATGTGATCGGCAGCAGTCTAAATGCACCAGCAGCCTCCAACACTAGTACCAATGCCTTAGCAAATGCTTCCATTGCTTTACAAGATAAGGGATGTGCCGTTGAGACCAAAGGGCTGCACGTCTCAGAGCCATTCCCATGTACCTTTCACAATTTCATTGTTAGAGGAAAGTCAACTGAGGGCACTCTTCCAACCGAGCCTTCTAAAGACAAGCGGTCAAGCCGAGTCTCTCACCCCTTTAGCTATATGGTTCTTTCAAGTCAACCTGCAAGAACAGGGAGTGTCAACACACCTTTGGACAGCCGTGGTCAGCAAAGAACACGGACAAAGAAAGCACTGTGCAGGCAGGAACTCTGGCACAGAATCTGCACAGATGCACCCTGCCAACTTGCCACTTTCACAGACTAAACCCTTCTGGTTCAGCCAGTCACCAGTTCAATCTGAGTTGCTCCTCCACCAAAAGAGGATTGTGTGAATTTAATAAAGTCCCTAAAATTATTTTAAATATTAACATATTAAGGGGTACTTTACAATACTTTCCTCAATGAAATTGCAAATTATTGGCAACCAGGATTTTAGAAATAACAACATACTAGATCATTAACTACTGTAAGCAACTCTTAAGCTACAGTCTTTCTTCATGGCACAGATCACATATTTTAAAAGCAACCCCCACCCCAAGTGCTTTAAAAATCTTCACACTATCTTTAATAAGGGAATGGGGAAAAGTAAAGTCAGAAACTTGGGTGTCATGTCAAAATTTTATACTCAAATATGGCCTCTAAAAGTATATTATTTGTTACAATTAAACTAAGTCTGCTTAAGTCAGACACAAAAGGAATCCTAAAAAGGAAACCTCTTAAAAATTTTAAGGTAACAGATTCTTGAACATCCCATGAAAAACATACCTTTCCATTCCACAGCTTTATCAAAAATACCTGTACCAAGGGTGAAAAGTATGGACAGGAAAAAAAATGCCACGTTAAGCAACACCAGCTACTCTAGCACCATTCAAAAAAAAAGTAATGATTTAAAGCAACCTCTCTCATCCATCACACACTGAAATAACATTCCACAGATATTGTAATGTGTGTTTTGTATAAACAATACATGTTCTATCTTACTCAATATAAAAGTAAACAAAATAAATATCCACGTTCATAAAACTATCTGCAAAAGGCTCTTAATGCTTGCACTTATAAATATTCAATAATATCTTTAACATACAGTTAAGCACATTTGGTACAAAGTACAGAAAAGTACAAATGGAGATATATGATATTTTCATTTGTGTAATCTGCATTTCTCTGATGAAAAGATGTTACAGGTTAAATCCCGTTACAATGAAAGCTATAAAAATCAAAATGCTACAAAAATACTTTTAGACCTTTGCTGCTGGTTTGATGTATGATGTAATAAACCCTAGGGAGTAATAACAAGGTGTTATGAAAGCTTTACTCCTTCCTTAACTCCAAAATAATCTCATGACTGCATCATTACCTTAGGCTCCTACTTTAGTTGTCTGCTTTCCAAGTGGTCTCTAAGCTCCTAATGAACAGAAACTCCACCCTTTGTTAGTCTTCCCCCAAAGCACCAAGCAAATCCTGGTGCTTACTACACGCTTTGGACTGATGAGTAAACAAACACTCTAACACTGTGAAGCACAAGGCAAACAGGCCCAAGGACAACCAAGGGCGATGGAGCCCACTGGCCAAGGCAAACTCACATCCATGGTCCTGGTAATGGCAAAACTGGCCGCAGTGTTAATTAGGTCACTGAATGGGGCCGAAATGCCCCTTAAAAATTAGTCGTTGTACTTTTTTCCAAGAAAAGATAAGAACAAAGTTCTACAATTTGATATATTACATAGTAATACTTTGTCGGAAAAGTTTTAAGACAAATAACCCTATAATGGTCAGCTGCCAAAAAAAAAAAGACGAGGAATTTGGATATCCTAGTGAAAGTTGTTGTAACGGGATTTGACCTGTACAAAATTCTAAATGACTATGGTTATTCCTATGCTGTTATTACTTTAACTGTATCTTCTCAGGGAGATACAGTTAATGGGTTATTTAGCCAACAGAAGTCCCTTTCCCTTGTCTAATGGTGCTCTCAAAAGCAAGTTGCTTCATTCAGTTACAAATTGGCTTAGCTCCCAAGGCCAATCCTTTTCAACATATTAGCACCATAAATGAAAGTAAATTCCATTAATAGTTTCCTCACCCCTTCCCACCCCACCCCACCCCCAAATGAACACATTATTTATACCATAAGAGCACCATCATGAAGGCAAGACGGACTTCTGCAATATCCAACCCTCTGTTCTGTTTCCTCAGTACAGAATGTTCAGGTTCCCTAAGTCCTGTAAGTAAGAGTAAGACCAGAAAATCTCAAACCAAGTAGATATTCATGAAAAGGTAAGAGAAGCCTTCTCCTGAGGTCAGTAAAGTAGAGACAGACTCACTTTGCCAAGAGAGGTCAAAGAAGTTTTCTGCCCAGAAAGACAGGAAGTAAGATATATTGTAATCCGTAGGATTTTACTTTAGTGGCACAAATTTATTTGAAGCAGATATTAAATTACATTGTACAAATATTTAGCATGACTTCAAACTTTTCTGACTTACTTTCAAGTTAACAAAAAAATTGTCCTGTATAAGTTATAAAATAAAAGTAAAAAACTTTTAACTTTATTAGAAATGTGAATACTGGCTATTTAATATTAAATAACTATTAAATTTTTTTGACGTGAACAATATTGTGGCTGTTTTTTTAAAAAATCATCTTACATAAATACAGACTGAGATATTTATAAAAGAAATAATATGATATCCAGAATTTGCTTCAATAGCCCTGAGGGAACGGATGAGAGAAAACACAGAAGACGAGTGGCCACGAGGGAAAGATGAGTAATGGACACTTGGGATGTCAAGATATACTCTTCTGTCTACTTCTATCTGAAATTCCACATAATAAACAGATTTTAGAAATAAATACTGAAATTCCAAGACCTAAGAAATCAGAATATCTCAGATATGTGTAAGACACCCAAATCTATGAACATACTGAAAACCACTGAATTGTACACTTTAAATAGATGAATTTTATGTTCTAAAGCTATTACCTAAAAAAAAAGACACCCAATGATAATTAAAAATATGCTGCCACTGGCTTCCTCCCACCTTCTTTCTTTCTTTCCTATTTTGGGCTTGCCTCTCAAAAGAATCTGTAAGTTAGTCATGTATTCATTAGCCCTTGTTGTAGAAAATAAAATGACAGCAATAATAAATGGGGTATAATTAATATTTTGTTTTTAAAATTACAAAAGATTTAAAAAACTGAAACAGATTTTTGATTGGCTAAGAATTTTAAATTTAAAACCTAAATTCCTAAAAGCCTAAATTCTATTAGCTAGGAAGTAAGATGACAGAATAAAGGACTTTCATTTTTACTTTACATTCTTTTATACTTTAAAAAGTGCTTAAAAGCGTACGTTACTTTTATAATAAATATACTTTGTACAAGGTTTCAAATGTTACCTTTCTGACATAATTGCATTTTAAGGCTTTTATTTTATTTTATTTTATTTTGGCCAATGATACAATTAAGAGTGTTTTATAAAAACATGGATGACATTCTCTTCCCACCAAAAAAGAACTAAATAGGTCACTCACCTACCGTCTCAAAAGGCTCTACATAAAACAGTAAATTGGTTGTGGCTTTTTAAAAATGCTTTGGGACCCATAAATTAATGACTAAGAAAGGACAATAACAACTGTTAGCTAGACTCAACTCCTAGCAAATCTAAAATTTGGTCTGGGAAAATCCATCTCTCCACCAACCTAGGATGATCCTCACGAGTGGAGTCCTGAACAGCTCCCAGGCTATCGTGATTGACCCTGAGAACAGCAGGATGTGTTGCACCATTCTGAATGTTCATTAGCTGTGATAGTCCTTTGGTCCTGGGGTGGCATGGGCTTCTTTACTGTGCAGCCTGTGGCTGTGACAACTTCTAATAGCCACATAAGACCACATTTTCAACTCTCTAGGAGAGAAAAAATTCTTAACATGGGGGCAGTACCTAGCCTGAGACTATGTTCCACCTCAGGAGAGATGGTGCAGGAGAAAGTGTGAGAATCATGATTCCACAGAATGAACAGTAGTCATGTGACTCTTTTGATCAATATTTTGCAGTATATTTTCTTTGCAGTGTGTTTTCTTCTCAGTGTTATCATAGACCCTACCCTTCCTTCTCCCTGATTTCTACGAAAAGGATGAAAATACCCTGTTATTTATTGCTTTTATTATTTCTTAACATTTTCTAAAAATATTTTATAGAACACATTAAAATGTGAACTGACATAATGATTTAAAGTATAGCTTATGTGATTACTTAACAAGTACATATCAATCACAAATTTTAAAGACTAGTGATTTCCAATATTTTTTGGTTGTCTCTAAAGTAACTTCAATTATCCCAAGGAACATTCTAAAACAACCTGATCTCTCTGAACATTAATAATTTCAAAATTGGATGTCTTTAGGAATGCTGACAGGAGACTAGAACTTCTAAAAGTCTCTACATGACATAAGCCAGTAGAAAGACAGGTGAGTGAAAGGCCAGGTAAAGAAGGCTCATTTCAGGACCTTCTCAAAATTAATGCCTGATCCAAGGCAACCTGCTGACCCAAGACTCCTGAGACCTCCAAGGCCAAAATACCTTCCACACAAGCACCCTAAGGGTTGACTTTCAATTAATACTTTCCCAGGAAGCATGCCCTCATTTCTCCAGCTTGTGCAAGCTTCCATGTCAGATAAGTGTGGCTGAGCTTCATAAAGGTATTGGGCACCCAGCTAAGACATACAAAAGTATA